GTAGATAATACGCGTGTTGCATGAAACCGTCATCAATAATGTTTTCCCTGCCAATGTAATGATATTCATACATAGAAAATGGTAGGTGAATAACAAAAAATAAACATATATATATGTTGTAAATACTATGCATCACAAAAGTAACGCTTCCTTTCATTTAAATCCAGTGTCAATAAAATCTTAAATAATAATAAAACAATAACTAATCCTAGTGAAATTGCGAATACATTTAATGATTATTTTATAAATTTAACTAATGACATCTCAAATATGACCAGTAATAAGTATAACATTATATCTAATGATAACAGTATTTTCTTACTACCTATTGACCGTTACGAAACTATTAAAGTCATCAACTCGCTAAAGAATACAAAATCAGTGGGATATGACAATTTTCCTATAAAATTATTAAAATTGACATCATCAATACTAGCACCTATTCTGTGCTACTTAGTAAATAAATCGTTTATACAGGGCGCATTTCCACAAGCATTAAAAATCTCTGTGGTCAAACCAATTCACAAAAAGGGTGATAAGTTACATGCGGAAAATTACAGACCTATTTCACTATTAACAACACTTTCAAAAGTATTTGAAAAAGCAATGTACTCTAGAATAATGTCATTTTTTGGAAAATATGAAATATTAAAAGATGAGCAAAATGGATTTCAGAAGGGTAAATCCACTACGCTTGCTGCATACAAATTAATTACTACAATGATGAATTACATTGACAGCAAAGTGCCACTTACTGCCATTTTCTTTGACATGAGCCGTGCATTTGATTTCGTATCGCATAAAATATTACTAGAAAAATGTGAAAAATATGGATTAAGAGGTCTAGCCCAGAAATGGCTACAAAACTACCTAAATAACAGAACCCAATATGTAGAAATAACGACAATTAATCAAAATAAGGAGGAAAAGACATATAAATCTAATATAAAAGTAAACAGTGTAGGAGTACCACAAGGTAGTATATTGGGACCACTTCTTTTCCTGATTTATATAAATGATCTGCCAAATGTAACTAAACATATGTGTAATCTCTATGCTGATGACATTGCTTTAATAATTCCTGACTCTGCGAAAAATCTGACATTATATAACAATGACATAAATAATACAATAAATGATATTATAAGTTGGCTGACAAACAATAATTTAAAAGTAAATGTAAATAAAACACATATGATACAATTTCATAATCAATATGCAAATAATACTCATGATCTCGTCATTACTCATAATGGTCAAATTATTAATGAAACAAAATCAATAACCTTCCTGGGAATTGTTTTAGACAAAAATTGTACGTGGAAAGAACATGTCGAAACAGTCTGTAATAAAATAAACAGATTCAGTTACGCTTTATGGCGGTTAACAAAGGTTGCTGGTAGCAAAACGGCTATACTTGCTTATCACGGCTATGTTGCTTCCAGGCTAAGATATGGATTGATTTTGTGGGGCAACTCTGTAGAAATAAACAGAGCCTTTGTCTGTCAAAAAAAATGCCTACGAGCTATTTTTGACGTTTCGCCTAGAACAAGTTGTAAGCCATTGTTTCAAAGACTCAACATATTGACTTTGCCTTGTATGTATATCTATGAAATATGCCAATTTGTAAGACTGCATCCTGAACTGTTCAAACGGAGACAAGATATTCCTAGTAAATACACTATAAGACACTTAGACAAATTGATGTTACCATCTATAAAGACGTCATTATGCAGTTCAAACTGTCACGCCATGGCGATTAAAATATATAATAAATTGCCAAGTGAAATTGTAAATTTATGTCGAAATAAATTCAAGAAAGAACTACATAGATGGCTAATCAGCAAATCTTACTACAGTGTTCAGGAGTATTTACTTAATTAAAAACATTGACATGTATAATTTATAAATATTTCATTAATACGAAGTTGACATACTCATATTATAAATAATGTACGTACTTAAACGAATAATAACCAAAATTGACATCTGTTTTGTCTGTTGCATGTCAGAAATGACAAAATGTGTGAAACTAGTTCTAAAGATCTTAAAAACCACACATGTACCACATTTTAAGCAATAAATATTTCATTTCATTTCATTTCATTTCATTTCATTTCATTTAATTATTTTTACACTACAGTGCATGTTATACACTAATCAGGTTACGCAGACATAATACCTTTGTTCTCCAAAATGCACCACGCATCAATAATATTGCTCGCTGCAATTTATCACCAGGCAAGGTTACAATTTTCTATCAGGTAGGTTAATGGCACACAGCTCAGCATCTCAGAAGACAGCATCATCTCTAACTATAAAAAAAACTGTTACGTACATATTCATTTTGCTGCCCAACTACTTCAATATAATTTTTTCTGGTGGTATAAGCATTAATTGTATGCATTGATCATAATAAACGGTCCTTATGCTTGAATTCCGTCTATGTTGTCTGAAATATATTAGTTACTTTGCACTAATAAACTTCAGTCATTACTGATTCAGTAATTTTATTTTATAAACTCCAAATACTAATTGAGTTAAAGTATCATAATAATTTGGCCTTGCATTACTTACCTGTTTTTAACTTACACACAATTTAAACACCATTGTGATAGTTACAAAATAGTTACAACCGGTCATTTTCTTTCGTTCCACAGTACATTACTATAAAATGGGATTTCCTATAAAGTAGTAGGATACATAATTTTATGGGTTTTAATATTATGTAATATTTGTATTAAGTCTATTTTGTAACTACTCTCATATTAATTTACTTGCTATATTTATATTTTATTTAATATACACATATATAGGTAACATTCTGCATGTTCTTGTAATATTTTTTTATATGCTAAGCCTTAAGCAACACCTCAGTGTGATCCCTGGACCACTTTACTATGGTTAATGAGGCATGAGAGAAAATCAAGCTATAATTTCAATGTTGAACACAACCTGTCACTGAACCATTGATTCATCTAATCACTGGACCAAGACAATTCAATTAGCAATACTTTACAATTAATCATTCTTAGACATATTTGATTTTACGGTGAATGAATCCACTTTACATGTTTGCTTTCATGTTTAACAATAAGAGGGACCACAATTGAGGCTTGGGTTTGGGAAGAAGGGAAGAAGAAGAGTATTTAGCGTAGGTTATATATGCTTACAAAGTAAAGTAATGACTTATTTATAGATACATAAAAAGGTACATTTACGTCCAAATCGGACTATCAGAAACAACTGGTATTATATATTTTAATGGTAGATGGATTCATTCAAATTGCGAATCCACGCGTAACAATCTTCTTGATAGTAAGTGGCATTATACATCAATAGCACTACAGACATCATGTCACTTTGTGACTCTGGGATACCCTCATGCGTTGACCAGTCATGAGGACAAAATTTTATGCCTCTGTAATTTCATTGCTGTAGGTATCTCATCCTTCAACCTAAACATCTATATAAATTACAAAGCAAGCTATTTGGCAGTTAAATATGTAAGTGTGACAGACGACTTTTTAAAAATCTATCATGATAGATTCTCCTCTTGTTGTTTACCTGAAATGTATTTACTATTTCACCGGCGCTTCGGCAAAGACCAGTAAATCTTTTAACACAATTACTAGCATCATGTTGAAGTTGCTAAACACAGAACAAATAAATTTACCGATTGCAAACACTGCAAGACAGTAGGCGTTTTTTATTTCAATTAATATAATAGTATTTTGAAATGACCTCTGTCCGTAAATAATCTAAATTTCAGATCATGATACCCCGGTTGAATGCGCGACATGGTGTGTTTGAGGTCGTAGTCTTCGCCGGCGAGGACGGTGTCGTGATTGAGTGGTCGGGACGGAAACTAAGAAATGTATAGTGAAATGTATAGAAACATAGATAGGCAAACCAGTAATCTTCCTCTATGACGCGAAATATTTATGAAAGTGTAAAATAAAAATGAAGAATATATTAGAATCTTAAAATAAAACCATTAGCATTTTCATCTATCCTCTGCTGTTTAATAATCAATGCTTGTTACTATTAAGAGCTGTCTAAAATATAAGACCACTAGCAGACCCGGCCACGCATTGCTGTGTTCCTGAATAAAATAATATTGAGACAATAAATTGAGTTGAGATGTAAGCTATCCTATTTTTCAAGTTGGATCAAATTGCACACAATGTGCAAATCTAATTGGCAGTCGTTTCAGTAGTTTAGGAGTTCATCGCTGACAAACACCATGACACGTATTTTTACATATAAAGAAAGATAATAACTGATTAAAAATATGACTAGGTAATTTTCCAATGAGTGAATCGTGCTTACCGGTATAGTTTTTCTAACACGTAACTCAATCGACATAGATAATAAAGTGAAAAACAGGTTGATGTTATGATTTAGTAAATGGCGTGCAGTATAAGTAATTGTGAATTTGTTGTGTTACCGCACTTACTAGTATGTTTAAATAGCCCATTTTGTTTACTTTCGTATACTATATATAATTATGTCTTAAAAACTATATTGATTGTTCACATTATAATAATGTCTTCTTAACGTATTCCTTAACCAATATTTCAGCTATGTTGAAAAGTATATTATGTATATAAAAGTATAAAAGCAACGATGAATTCATACTCACTAATAGATAGAGGAGGGTATATGATGGATAATCATATCTTGTAAGGTCAACATTTAAAAATATGGGGAATGAACCATGGAAGGCAATATAGGCAATCTAATATATCTATTTTGAAATAAAATAATATCAAGCCGCTTGTTCAGTTATTCTTTCTCATGTGAGACATAACTCATATTAGTACCATAATAATAATAAACCAGTAGCGGGGCTAGAATTAATTATATTGGTTCTTTTAATATAAGTTGTTTTCAACATAATGTATATATTGTACATCAAGAAACGCATCCTATTTATTAATCCAAAACACTTAATTAATTAAATATGTGAAATTTTACTACATTTTTGTAGGCTATTTTTAGCACCTATGGTTTTCTTTTAAATTCAGAAGTCTTTTGATGACATAGTCTCAATATTAGATGAAGATCATAATAAGACGTGTGGTGGTATAAGAAGTATTCCGGATTTGGATATGTAAGCACCTGGACCCAACACCTGGAAAAATTAAACTGATTTAAAATTAGAACTATTTTCATAGAGTTAACGAGTTCACTCGATTATACTGGTATGTTTTCTGTGACTAGTCATCATATTTTATGTATGAGCAAAGCAACATAACATTAAATCGGGTCGAGCCGAGTCCGGTGCTGCTGTTTGTTAAGTTTACTTATACAAACATGAGTCATATAACTTAAAGAAAGTTGAATAAAACCCTTAAAGAGGACAATGATTATCTTTGTGAAAATATTCAATATATACCCTACAATTTAATTACTTAATTCAGTCATGTAGATGGCGTTATATAGATAGATTATTTATTGTTGTCGTATGATCACTACCAATAGTTGGCGATCTACAAATATAGGTAGGTAACACGTTTATGAAGTGACATGCATCACTAATGTTAAATACATATTTAAAAAATACTTATTGGGACCTCACCTCTCTACCTGTACATCTAAATATGCCAGTTGGTGCATTAGGTAAAAGTTCAAAGTTTGGCATCACATTGTTGTTAGGTAAGCAGTATCCATATTTGCGCATCTAGAATGTAAAATAAAATATTCAGGTATTAAATATAGTATGTTATGTAACTACAGTATAATGAGATAATTAGTCTTACATACTTAGTGTTATTGTGAAGGTTATTAAACACTGACCCACTTTTGTTCGTGGTATATTATGTTAATAACTGGGGGTTAATTTCAACAGACTCCTAAAAGAAGGAGGCTCTGCTACATATATTTTTATGTAATTTTAAAGGTAAACAAGTTGATTAGTCATCTGATGTTATGTGGTAACCGACGCGTATGTACATGAACAGCACTACAGACATCACGTTACATGTGATACCACTAAAGAAATTTGTGCTATTCCAGAGGAGTAAAATGTCATGCTCTTATCCTGCACTTTCACACAAACATGAAACACATTTTAGGAAGCAAGTAGCTTGTCTGCTGAAATGGACGAGACTATAGTACCCACGCAGGCGCCTTTTTATAAATTCTACCTCATTCTAAATATTTTATCATTGTGAATGTGATAATATCAATATCACATTCACAATGATAAAATATTTACTTGACTGATTTAATCATATTGTATTTTTATATTTGAGCCTAAATAAATTAGTGCTGGTTGGTAGTTTGTATTCACACGTTTCGACTTGTAAAATGTGAACTTACAAGGATCACGAGATTCTTGCTCATTCTTCTTGTGATGAGACAACTTTCCGAATGAGCGGTAAGTTTAAAAAAAGGAATTGTTATGACTATTCAAAAGTGCTTAAATTAAGTTTATTTGAATAAATGATTTTCTATTCTATTGTATTCATCACCTGACTTCCAATATTCACCACATCTCCTGATTTCCAATGTTCATGGGTAATTGATACCTCGCATTTTGTTCGATGGCTACTAGATATATGATGTTATATGATTTATGCGGGAAAAAATATAGATTCATATATATTTCACAGGATTTTTAATGTATTTCAAAGTTTTCGTTCTTTATATAAGAAACTGATAATACCGTAAAATTTTAATTGATTTTGAAGTACGAAATCTATATAAATATCATCTCTGTTAAAAGTACTTCGAAATCTATGTGTGATGACTTACATCATACGTTGTAGTGCTAGAATGATTAGTACCATTTGTATTCTGACAACAGATACATGATAGCTTTCCTCCTTCAGTATCTGATGAATTTGAGCATTTCATATCACCAGAACTTCTACAATCACCAGTAGAAGCACTAAAAATACAATAAATGGCAGTACGGATTCGATTCGTACGCAAATTTAAGTGTAACACGGCATGAACAGATTTCCTTATGGAACACATTGCTTGATTATAAAAATAGGCGTATTCAGACAATATTAGATTGGTAAATTCTAACAAGAAATTTAGTTACGTTTGTTATAAGACTATTTAAAACTTCACAGAATGTACATGTATATAAAATTATATTAATGTTACATTGTCTGATTGTTTTATTGCTGTTTAATATCTAATTTGAGATCTTTATCCTGACGTGACATGGAAAATTTATGATAAAGCAACATTGTTCTGTAATCATTGAGGCGTACGGGTATTTTTTCATCTATGGATTTAAATTCCGATCAAAAAGTAGTTTACTAAAATGCCTCATGATATGCATCATGTAATTTACTGCCTTGCTTGTTATTTTAATCGAAATTTAACTAAAACATTACAAGGATATTGGCGGCTGGAATATGTAGGATGAGGTAACCTCGTAGACTATGAATAATTTTAGAAAAGTAGCACTATTGATTTACCTAATTGGTACGTAATAACAAGATTACACATGTAATAATCCCTTAATAATACTACTTTTACATACCTAAATATTTGATATCACGATCCATCTTACACAACTTATTTGCTGTTATATCCAAAGTTGAACTGCGTGGGTATTTTAGACACTAAGTAGCTATATTTTCTTTAAGCTTGTTTGCCATTACAATTTTATATAATAAGGAAGTATTATAAAAAATTAAAGTTAGAAGCAAGCTTACAGAAAAAAATATTTTGTGAAATCGTAATTTCGAAATATTTATTATTCACAAATGAAATATAGGAAGCAAAAAAAGTTTATTAGCTTTCATATTTGCACTTTTTCTTAAAACTTTCTGAAAATCAGTTTCTTCATTCACAGAGCTTCATTACGAGTACTGGTAAGCCCGCTGCCGCTCCACCGGCGTTGGTCGCCGCTCCACCAGAAGGCGCGGAGCAACCTGTACAATATTCAGGCATCAATAACTTCATTTTCTCTAGGCTGATAGCTCATTGACTTGCTACCATAACAAAACAAACTACCATCAAAACAAAATCTACCATCTGTAAGTGGGTTACGAGCTGGTTGAACACCAGGCAGAGATTCAAAGCAGTCTGCTTTACAAGGAGCATTCCATTCAAGGTGGTGGGGGTTTGGAATGGATACAACCTGGTCTCGTGCACGTTTCTTCCTTATTAGTTATTTTGGCTATTTTACGCATTTGATCTGGTCCTCTTAAAACATGATTTAGCACCTCTTTTTTATCGAACCGATATAGGATTTCTGCAACTGTCTTTTCGTCAAATATTAAAATTGATTGATTATTAGCTGGATCTAAAGTGTTTGGACACTTCGATTGACTAGTAGTAATATTAATTGAACTCTGCTTAATATCATTAGTACAGATACACGCTTTGCCACCCGAATTAGTACCACTACCACCACTAAATTTATCAACTTGAATTGCAAGAGATCTAAGACACTTACAGCATTTTCCTCCACTTTGAGCTGCTGAAACATCTGGTATGATACCCTTCAGCTCACATACAATGAACCTTTTGCCATTTCCAGATCCTTTCACGGCGCCGCCGGTTCTACCTTCGTCTTGAGCACGCATGTGGCCTACCAGGGGTCCAGGATCAGCGAGGCCACGAGCTCGTGCTAGTTGACTGGGTGCACATAACGGATCTGGTAACACCAAGCATGCCGGTTCACCTCCGCATCCCGTCCTGCGACAGTCATGTTGTAGCCCATTACGCTTTATACAGTGACAACTGTAGTACATAATGCCTCCTCGCAACTCACGACTCTTCGTTCTTTTTAACTGATTTTCTTTTTCATCCTTTTTGTCCGTGCCACCACCCTCCTCCAGACGTGAGCTTCCGTCGGAGTATTTTCCTTTCTGTAATAAAATATAGTTTTACATTATGTTTAGTTCATTGCCCATAGCCCGCCATGTTGTCAATAAAAATTGTATTACCGAGAAACGAAATGGTTAGCGTGCTAGAGAGCAGAGGCTACCACTGAGATATCAGATCGAAGTCGCTGAACCGCGTAACGTAGGTCTTGCCAGGTGGTGGGCGACGAACACAAGGCGGACAGGGCGGAGGGCAGGGCCGAGGCCCTGAACAGCAAGAACCCGCTCGGCATAGATATCGGATTGAACCTTGCTGGAAATACTGGCAATCTTGTAATCCATTGCGCTTGAATGCAGAGCGTGGTAGGCACTGCAGCTAAAATTATTTTATCTCTTAATTAGTTAATCCTATATTTGTATAAATTATCAATAAATGATGGTATATTAAATAACTAACCGGCGGACCACAGTCTTCGTATTTGTAACATACCATAGGGCCACAAGGGCTGCACCTGAAATATTTTAGAGTATTATAATTTTTATACATATCACGAAATATATTATGTAGACGAATTTAGTTTCATGGAATTAGTTCTCCCATATATATATATAGAAGCAGATTATAAATTTGAGTCACGAAATGTAGAAAAATGTAGTGTAAATTTTTATTTTTTTTTAATTGAAAACTATGGGGAAAATTAACTATTACACAACAGGTGCATATAAGAGACATCTGGTTAAAATGACATTACAATAGTATGATTTTATGGATTTAAAGATTTAGACATTATTAAATCAAAGTATGACGAAATGTTTAATTAAAGTGGACTTCGAATAGGGGTATTAAGACTTTGTACTAAATTATAGAAGCATGTTTAAACGGTTAATTAAAGTATCGTCAGTTCCAAGCGGGGGAATAAACAGTACTATAAAAAATATACTCGTGTATCATAGCATACTTTGTATGAAAACCTGGTATACTATAACACTGAAAAACTACACTGCTTAGGGCTACATCATTTAACTTTTATCCATCCCAACACAAACTACGCCTAAATAATACTCACATTATATAAGGTTAAATTAATACCGATCCAAGCCCAAGATATAAAATGAGGAGGTGGTGGAATTTAAAATTGTGTATTTTAATAGTGTTCAAAATTTACATAAATATATGGAAATTTATTTAAAAACACTTGGATAATTTAGAATTTAGAAACATTGCAATTTTTTTATATTATTATTATTATTATTATTATTAATTATTAATAAAACCACATGTAAATAAGTCGGAATGACAAAATCTTGTGTCAATATATATTTCTTTTGTTACTTTTCATATTTATTGTCTTCTCAATTCAAAAAATTATCTATCCGGTTGGCCAGTTCCGTATATATATTTTTTTAAATCGCCAATACGAAAATCCAGTACGAACTTGGTCTTGAAATTTAATTTATAACATTTTTATTTTGATATAATTTTTAATTTGTTTTTAATATCTTCTCATGTTACAAATAGTAGATAATGGTTCTGCATAAGGATTACAACAATGCTTTTCGCATGCCACTCGAGCTGGTTCACAAAGCGGAGCAGGCAAAGCTTGACATAGAGGAGAAGTCTGGCAACCGGTCCTACGACAGTCGTATTGCAAGCCATTTCGCCTTATACAGTAACAGTCTTTGTATAAAATACCTCCTCTGAGCTCTCGACTCTTGCAAGTCCGCAGAGGATTGCAGGATACGATTTTTTTTCCCATGACCATAATGTCACAGTCTAAAATTTGATAATATTATGTGAATAGTATGTAAATGGTAAGGTACTTGTTCATTATAAAATAATGTAATAGAACTTACCAATAATATTTATTAATTTTCTTTATATTAAAAAAATCATCACTGATAATTTGGAAACATATTGAACTAAATGATGTTTGATACGTGATTTACAACTAGATTTAAAAAAAAAAATTATTAAAACAGGATGGCCGTGACCATATTAATCGTGAATATTATTCCTAACATAGTACAATACTATAAGCTCGGCTTAATATGACAATCGTAATCGTAATGGAAAAGTATCAAAGAAAGAACAAATAATTTTATTTACGTACTGTACTTTCTGTAAAACGTATTTTATTATAATGAAATATTCATAACGATAAAATACGTTTTACAGAAATAACATGTTATCTTAACTATTTATTGTCCAAATGTACTTTGAACTGAGCTGATTTTCAGTAGTATGAATTACAAACGGAACAGAAAAGACCTATTGACTGATTATTTGATTATTATTAATTAAACAAAATATAAAAATTTATATAGGCTGATATGAGAATTAATAATGGCGGTTACCAGAACGCGTAGAAGCTTCATATAATTTCCAAAATCTGCAGAAAAAATTACCTCTGATGAAAAATTGCAGTACTAAATACTGGCTGGTTATTGGTACTGAGTCTCTTTGTTACTGGCTTTATGAATCTGGATAATTAAAAAGTATAAAAAACTAAATTGAATCATCTTTCTTTATTTAAAACCAGACGAAGTTAATCTGTAGAAGTACATCTGCAACAATATTCAGTACAATCAAATCCTTTGCGTGATACACATAAAAAATCTCTAAAAAAATTAATTGAAAAAAATCTTTGAAAAATAATCTTTTCCCAAAATTATACACGGCACTTTTTGGGTTACTCTTCGGATATTACTATTTGCTCTTCGGACAACCTATTTCTTCTCTCCTTAGTACTCTTCACAAGCCTATAGCCGAAAAGAATGTAAGTACTTTTGAAATTTCACGTTCACTCTTCTAATCGGTGGGGTTGATGCAAATTATGAAGGGTAAAATAAGCTATTGGTGCAAAATAAGTCTTCCTATTCCTTTCTCGGCATCGTAACCTAATAAACTTTTTTTCCTTAGGTGTTGCGGACCGTGCGGAGGAGGTTGCTGCGGTGGTAGCTGCTGTGGTGGCTGCTGCTGCCCATGCATCACTATATACACGTGCTGTACCAAAATTTGCTAGTGCTAGTGTTAATAGCCACGAAGTCATCGCAGACTGACCATGGTATCTGCAGCGAGTTCAATGTGGGAGTACGGACTACGTAGTTTTTGCAGTCGACTGGTGTTCGTTTTTGTGGAAATAAATTATTGAATTAAGCGTACTCTTAAGTTTCATTTGATTCAAAAAGGTGTCATTCGATCTTGGGAAATGGGCGCTAGGTTATAGGGGAAAGTGTAGTTATTGCTGCGGTGGTAGCTGCTGTGGTGGCTACTGCTGCCCACGCATCACTATACATACGTGCTGTACCAAGAATTGCTAGTACTAGTATCACCGCAGACGATCGTGGTATCTGCAGCGATTTTAATGAGGGAGTACGGACTACGTAGTTGCAATCCGTAGTTGCAGTCGACTATGTTATTTTTGTGGAAATATTGAAATGTTTCATTTGATTCATAAAGGTGATCAATACGATCTAGGGAAACGGGCGCTAGGTTTATAGAAGAAACGTAACGTGTAGTTATGGCGTAAAGGATTGTTACTCTCCGATGTCACCATATACTGCGATATAGCAGTGTTGGCTACTCTAAATGAAGAGCTTAGGTAATGTGGGATCCACTTCGAATTACCACAGGTGTAGCCGCTCACGATCACTACGAAACCGAATCTCTTAAAAACTAAGCTATAGAGCAATATTAGTGCTTAATGTTCAATAGAGATGTAGTGTGCTTATTGCTGGACTAGATTTGGGCTATTGTCTAACTACAGGCGACAAAAAATATGGTTAAAGGCGAGCAGCAATTTTATATCGGTAACTTTAATCGACACCGTTAAAATTAAACTTCATGGTAGACAAATCATTGGTACTTTATTAACAAACTTCATAATTGATATCAGTCCAGGCAAAGAACTATTACGAGCACTTGTACATTTTGTTTAACATGTCTTGATACTTGTTGGACTGTGGTGACCGACTGCTATTACAGCTTTATCAAACGCTGCAATTGGGCGTGGTGGCTGCCCAACAGCGAGTACCGCGTCTGTTGAAATAATAATAAAATAGTCGATATAGACGTGATATTTTCGCGCATTCTTTTTTTTTCAATCAATAAATATACCTATATATCTAATACTATAGTCAAATGGCACAAGTTAACAAGCCGACGATAACAGGTAACCGTCGCCTATATAGACAATAAATGTCAACTTAACAGAACCTGGCATAGCTCTACTCATGTGTTTTTCTTATGATATGATATGATATGATCTTCTTTCTTATAATACTAATTATCATGTAGCACGCGCCTTCTCTAACGGTTTACGCTGTAGGAGCACCCAACACACAGTGGAGGATGATAGGATGAGTATGAGGTCAGGTCAGTTAGTCCATCGTGGTAAATTCACCATCCCAATCCCACTCATGGGTTTCTATTACATAGTACTAACATCTCATGTCTCCATACCCTGTAGTTACTATAGCGGTAACTTCGGCGTCGTAACGGAAAATGGAGCAGACTAACAGCAGTCTGCCCTACACCAAATATTGATGTGAACACTAAACAATTTCAATGAGAATCTTATTACAGAGACATTGTCTACTAAGCAATGTAATCATATGTTTCGCGGAAGCGCAGTACAGCTTCACTGGATATGTGCTACTTGACTGTAAACTGTGACGAGAGACCCAGCCCCGCAGCACGGAGGCGGACGGCAAGGTTGACAGCATTTTGGTTGGCAGCCATCACCACTGTAATTAAATTTATGTAACTTTAATTTAATGCTTAAAAACACTACTTAAATTAACCAAAAAAAAAAGATATGTTATTACAAGGGACAGTAAAAGTACGGAGTCACTGCAGTGTGGTCCTACTGAATGACAACGAATCAGAGGTACTAAGAGCGTCACATTATGACGTGATGTCCTTTTCATGTATACACAAAGAAAAAGGTTGTTATTATTACAAGTAAGAAAGAACAATGTTATCTATTTGCATTCCGTGAGGTATGCAAATAAACAACAGTGAGGAGGTATTTGAAACAGAGAAACACAAATTATTGTATTTTTTTTAATTTTATGAGTATAAAATTAGATGATTTTATCCTAATTTTACTGCTTACCGAATTGTTGACATTATGGTTTGTAATTGACCAATTACGTTCATACGGTTACACATTATATTTTTTTCTGAAAACGATAAAGAAAACTAAACCGGAATAAAAAAAAACTAATAATTTTATTTCACGACTATATTGTTAGGCTATTGTGTCGTAATTGATATCTGACTTTGGTTTTTTCTGTGTATTGACGTAATGTCACATAAATCATGCTTTAGCAAAAAGTATATTCAAAATTAATAACGTAGTAAACATTAAAGGATTTTTCTAATTTTCTATGGTAATTAATATTTATTACCATCCAAAAATATATGTCAATTTAATAATATTTAAACGTTATTAATAGAATGTAATTTAAAATATCAGCAGTATAAAATACATAGGAAATTCACAAATGCTTTCTAGTAGATGTTCATATGCATTTAAATGAAATTGTATTTTATTGCGAGTTTCTAGACACAGTGGTTTAGAATGTGCATTAATAGCTGTCTATAGATTAAAGTTAGAACTTTTACATGTTATCGGGTATAATATAACTTGTACATATATACTAGGTCTTATTTGTAAAAAAAAACAATGAGAAGCCTCTTTATAAATATTTGTGTATAATTGGGTACATATATTACAAACAAGATATTAATTGTAAGACTGCAGTATTACGAAATACAGAATCTAATAGTACATATACACCACATTCTATTGATTTACTATAAATATTTTTTCTGATAACTATACAATTTTTGCAGTATCAGTTGTAAGAAGGAGCACACGACGGATAGTGTGGTTTCACCTAAAACAACAATAAAGTAAAATATATAAGTCCTTTTTTATAAATAATCAAACTATCAAAGAATAATAAATATACAGGTTTCTCGCAGGATTACTCATCACGTTACGTACAATGTTATTTAATGTAATATTAGAGTTAATTCAAGTCAATTAATAAACAAAAAAAAATATGAGACACCAGAAGAGCATGATCAATTAAAAATAAATTCAGGTCATTTAGTTCATTGTAGCCAATTCATCATGATTATTTCTAGGTAAATCGCGTGAAGTCAACCTGGCAATGGGTTAATAGTCCTTGCCAATCCGTCCCCGCGCTTTATAGAGATTGAGATAGGTGAGACCATGAGACTCACGCAAAGGGCTTCGTACAAAGTCCATGTTGGTAAAATAATTTCATTATTTGATATTAAGCTTTCTTAGGGGCCGGCAATGCGCATGTGACATTCCTGGTGTCTCAGGCGTTCATAGGCCACGGCAACCATTTACCATCAGATGGACCATTTGGTTATTGGTCACCATCGTAGTATATAAAAAAACATACCGGCCGTTCGTAATTAATGAGTTGATAGCGGACTTTCTTGTCTTGATTATTAAGCAGCATGCCTGGCCAACTAGTAGGCCGGTAGTCGAAGGTACTGTCTCCGACTATCAAGGGCCGGAGCGTCACTGGATCTATGCCGCATGGTAAACATCCTGGACCCTAATAGTAAAAAAAATATTTTTGATTAAACTAAAATTTGAATAAGAGTTTTAGCTAGCTGTAATTGCTACCTATTTATCTATATATATATATATATATATATACTTATGTGAGATAATTAGATGATATCATAGGTAATAAAATCCAAAACACAATTTTAGGTCGTTGTCTATTTATCTATTTATTTGTCGGTTATCAGTTATCACTATCGTATCGTAATAAGTTTCTAATAAAATTTTTCTTAATTGCAACGCTAAGAATAATCTATTATTACCCCGAATATGCTGTACTTAATAAAAGGATATTATATAGACGATTTTAGCGTAATTAAATGATTAGTGAAAGAAGTGACGATATCCTTGTATTTATGGGTATTTTGATTACAAAAGTACTTAGCTTACTTAGCCGAAACTTACTTGTGTCGAATTTGTCTGGTGACTTGTTCAGACAACAAGACTATATGCACACCGAAGAAAAACTCTTTCATGCCTGCTATTGTAACACTATAACAATTCACGCAGCGCTATCTATAGTCACCAGTAAAGCAGATCTTTTGTTATGGGTAATAGACAACTAATACACATACATTTCTTTTTTTTGTAAATATATAAATAAAATATATTATTACATGACTGCGAACAGGGAAGAATGGAAAAGAAAAACATATTACGCTGACCCCAAACAAATGGTATAAGGAAGAAGCAGATGATTATATAGAAAACAAACATCCAATGTTTGTATTGTGCGAGGGATCGAAATCATGACTATTGGAAGTATACTAAAGCCCTACAACACCTTGGCCGTTAGTGTTAGTGTTAGGTACTAACATACCCATTTACGAGCTTGACATTATATCTACATATTAAATACTAGGTATAGAGATTTACCTGTACTGGATAGCAGGGTATACATTCTGGAGCTTCTTTGTAACTGGGCAAATGAAGTATTGGACTACACATTTTAATTTACTTGTAATAGAAATTGCATCCAAAAATACGTATTATAAATTTTTGTTATAATTTGACAGAATAATTTTTGACACATGTATTTATTTTTTAATTTTATATTAGGTCTATAAGGTTAAGTTTGTATAGTTCCTGCTTATTATATTGCTTGTTTTCTTCCAATAAGCACCTAATTTATTTTTTGTACATTCAACTTAAAAGTAGAGACTGTTTATTTCTTGCACCGTTTTTCCTCACCTTTTTAACTACAGAAAGAATAGTATATAATATATACCTACATAATGAATTTACACGCGCCGAAAAATTTACAGTTGCATCCACGAAAACGATAAATGAAAATCTGTTGTATTATTAAAACTATATATATATATATATTTTAATTTTAATGTTGTGAATAATTTTTGATATCTAATACGAGAACTTTAAATTTGAAAAAAGAATAATATATGAAATTTCAAACGAAATAATAAACGTGATAATTTGGGTCTTGTTCCATTTTCAAATTGAATAAACGCGCTCTAGATCACTAAACATTTTTGAAATGACAGTAACAGCTAGTTGACGTTAATAGTAATATTCACTACTAACGTCATTTTCTTCACTTCTAAAAATTGTGTCGTGGAATAAACTTATGAACTAGAAAAAAAACTATAAATAAAAAATAAAATTTATTATAAAAATACTTCGAATTTATCGTATTTCAAATCACCAGCCGATAAAAATGTAAGTACCTATATTTGCTTTTATTTATATTTTAGAAGAAGGTTTTGAAAGACATTAGATGTTTTCAAAGCAAAAAAATTACATAATAAATGGGGGATCATTTGTATGTTTATCAGCTTTTCCTGTAAAAGAACGATTTCCATTAGTCATTTATTCCCATTATTATTTTATTATTCAAATCAATTACAAGATTTTCTGTTTGATTTGCTTTCTTTTTAGAAATGTTTTGAATAATTTAGATACGTTGCAATAAAATAACTAATTTCATTAGTCATTTATTCTCAATGTTTTTTTATTCTGATCAAATCCAAGATTTTCTGTTCTTGATTTGTTTTATATTTTGAATAATATTTTGATGCAGGTGCTGCGGATGTGGTTGCCCCAAAATCACCATCTACACGTGCTGCACGAAAATATGTTAATATATACATTACTACAATCGGTCCATTTATCAAAGCATGAATCCAAACTGCGTAAAATGTTATAGTTTAACTGGTATCATTAAAACAATTTGAATTGCTATCCATTTTCATTTCAATCTACCAACAACAAACCTTCCACCAAATGGGTTGCTTTGTGAACTGTTTTGATTGTAGGGTGTAGATTACAGTGAAGTTTCTGAATAAGACTGATGACATTAGTCTACTAGAAGTGATATTACGTGGTAACCTTAATGCTGTTCATATATATGGACTACAGTTACCGCTTACCATCAGTCAAGATGGTAAAGAAACTCATCATTATGAGTTTCTTTACCATTCTAATTACGAAGAAAAGTAAATTTGTACCTGATTTGTAAAGTTTTAACTTTCCATGTAAAAATTCAATTTTTTGTGTAACTGGTATGGGAATTCAATTTTTTGTGTAACAGGACAGCCGTTGACAGCTGTCAACGGCTGTCCTGAATGCAACTGTTGCATGCCTACAGGAGCTGCTTGTGATAGATAGGTATTACTAGTAGTCGATGATGTGTATGGTGCCGTTAATGTATTTTGTATAGGCGATGGTTACCACTTACCATCAGGTCAGCCATCAACTATGCTAATAACTATATTTGAACCTGAACATATTACAAAGCAACTTACTTGGCGGTTGAAAAAGTGAAACGGTTACATATGCTGATGACTTCGTCCAAAGTAATCTCGTGTCTGTAGCCTATTCACACCTCGTTTTCAATCAAGTTTAGTTTGCAAATCTATGATTTCACAAATTTCAACATTGAATTCTGTTAAGAACCAAACATGTTTATAAACCTTCTGAAGATATCCGTAGAATGTTTAAATGTTTTTTGTCTTATTTGACTTGTTTCAATTAATGATCAATTTCAATCGCATTATTTACAATAAAACAACGTAACCCTATAGATTATACGTACCTATAAACTACCTACTAGATTATTTGTAAACATCTCGTAGGCCTATCGGTAGTTATAAATAGCCCTAAGACTGATAACAGCTCACATATCGTACATATTTCCCACGAAAAATTTATTGTCTAATTCTGGCAAAAACTTCAAAAATTTCAAGTGCATTTTAATATAATACAATAAAATGGGAGGTTGCAATGTGCCTTGTGTGCCTGCGATGTGTGCTCCAGCTGCAAATATTTGTGGAGCACAGGCACCATTTATATGCCAGAACAAAATCCCGGAAACCCAACGGTGTTACCCTGTGAATCCCTGCATTAACATCTACAGCTGTCATACGCAAATCATGTAAACGCTGCCAAGAAGATGAAAACGTGGCAAATAACAGCTATCAACATTTCAGTCTATATGTTAAGATTAATTACATGTGAGAAAATATTTCAATATATTATTTTAGTAAACCAGATACATTTCATTTCATTAAAGTTAATAAATATAAACCTTATAAATACAATAATAGATTTGTTTCAGCGAGGTCATGACATTTCCTAGGTTAATTGTTTACTTAGTTGATTATCAGAATATCTTATAGGACACAACAAATAACAACTTATGTTCAACGAGTATAACTAATCTTACTAATATTATAAACGCGAAAAAATGTGAGTTAGGTGCTATCCATCTATACTCAAAATTTCGCGTTTATAATATTTATAAAATTAGTAAGAGATATCTATATCCAAGAATCCAATTTGGATCTATGTCCAGGATGAATTCCTGGATATAGATCCAGATCGCGTTTATAATATCCAGGATGGATGTTTGTTCTTCTTATTAATCTGGACATGGATCTCTCTCAGAGCAAAAACTCTGAATATCTGTATTCTCGGATAATTGTCGTTCCTCCTTATAGATCTACTTTACTATTTATGAGTATACAACAATGTGAGCTGAATAAAACCCAGACAGTAACTTTATAATTTACTACCAACACTGACATCATTGGTCTGGACATTCACATAATCAAATTAATTGAACCACAGAACAGAGGAATAGGAATTGAACGATATATTCATTATCGTAATGGAACATCTACAGCGTATAGGCATCCAGATTGGGGTCCCTGTAAACAAGTTATAAATGGTTAGACAGTCACTCCAAGACTACTTTTACTATATTATCGGTATATTATTTGCGTTGAGACTGAGATATTAGTTACCTATTTTATTAATTATTATTAATTATTTTATTAATTATTATTACTAATAATGGCTGTAGTAGACCCTACACAGTCCAATTTACCAGAACTATAAAATAGCATTACATTGTTGAAGCTAGAACCCAATAATATTTATATGATTTTTTTATGTAAACAAGCTGATGACAAACTTGTTGGTAAATAGCAACAATCTATGACGCCTATAATATCCCTCATGCTATGCTATTCCTGAGGACAAATATATTATGCTTCCATGCCTTATTTTCTTTTTGTACATCGTCATTATTAAACCGTAACATAGCTCACAAAGCAAGCTGCTTGGCGGCTGACATAGGTGACACAGAGATATCTACGCAGACGACTAAATACATTAGTAATTTCTACATGATGTAAAGTAATAGAAATTACGTAAAACTTTTATACAATTTTATACAATTTTCCAAGAAAAGAATAAATTTAACGTATATGATGTCATAATGTGTAGGAAGAAATTGTCCAACAGTGTACGTTAAATTAATAATAATGATCAATAATATAATATGTATACCTATAAATAAATACTGACCTGTCTCACATAATTATTTACTGAATACCGCACATTAGGGTTGCTTCTTGTGAAACATTCTTCAGGCCGACCAGAGGGTCTGTTTTGGAATACACCGTCATGCACTATCAATGGCCTCCGGCGTGTGACAGGGTCTAATTCACAGTCGGGACAGCAACTGCGGGATACTGGAAGGCAAGGATATGGAGCTGGTGGTGCTCTCGAACAGATAGGTCGTTGTTTTGGAATTATAGGTGGCGGGCATTGTGGATTGCAGCAAGGCAACACCGGTTGATAACATGGAATAGGCTCTGGACATGGGCATACCTAGAACATAACTTTACATTACATGTGCAACCTATATGGATATTACTTACTACACGCTTGTTTATATGTTGTGAGTCTAGACATGAAGAACTAGATAAAGGGAGTAAGATTTAAACAGCGACATAATAATAATAATAATAATCTTTATTTGTCTCAAACAAAAACTTTTCACACAATACAACTGTGGCCCATACAATAATATAATTTAAAGTTAGTACACACAACACCTTAATCCTCAGAAATAGCTTCGTAATTAGAGTACCTAATACGTAGTACTACCGTAGTAGAGAATAATATTAAACATTGTATTATGTGATATATATACCCGTGGTTATTGTTTATTAGGAATGGTTACACTTTCCATTTATTTAAAATGTTAAATAAATAATTCTGTAAACACAGATCTGAAACAAGATTTGTGTTTATAGTCAGATTTTGAACGAGTTTATTGGTTTAAAATGAATAGAGTTCTCAAGCAACACATACAAAAATACTGTCGAATTGAGAACATAAAACTAAAGTTGGTTAAAAATAAAGTATGTTGAATGACAACATAATAAATATAACTTACTAGTGGAGGATCGCAAGGCTCGGGTGGTGGACAGCATGGTAACATAGGCGGGCAACACACAGGGAACGGTGGCGGATGCGGTGGGGGTTCAGGCGCTGGGGCACGCCGCGGTCTGCACGGAGGTAGTATTGGTACTATTGGCGGGACCAAGTCTGGGATAACGGGCGCTGGACACTGTCTGAACACTGGCTTGCAGGTACATGGTGGACACGGCGTGCAGGGGCATGGTGGTGCACAGCACGGCTGGCAACAAGGAGCCGGTGGAGGGCAAGAGTACATACATGGATTTGGGCCACATGGCAAAATTGGTGGACACGTAGGGCAAAAAGTACAGGCACACATTCTGTATATATATTATAATATTTATTACAAAAACCTCTTTTATTGTATGCTATTCTTGATTGATTTATATTTATATTTTATTATTTTTTTCAATAATTTTCTACGATACACTATGCAATTTTTATGATTTGTCAAATAGTAAATATTTTTTAACGATTAGTATTATTTCATATTTCCAGTCAGTCCCATTTTTAATATTCTGTTTCACAAAAGAAAAATATTCAGGAGACATTTCATTTGTCAAAAAAATTAACGATAAAAATATACACCTTTTTGTATTAAATGTCTATTTATTATAAAAACAGCAAAACCGATAAAATGAGTGCTCCATTTTACAGCTTCGATCCTTGCGTTTGCAGGGGGATGCCATGCGGCGCCTGCTACCCTTACAGCACTAAACCGTGCGCGGCTTCGCGAAACGACCTCAGCGTATGCTCGGTATGTCCTGGCGGAGGGTGCTCCCCTTGTCCAGCCCCAGTCAGACCGTGTCTAGCACCATGCCCACAACCACCAGTTCTACCATGTTTACCTCCGTGCCCACCTTGCGATAAGGTACTTTTTTAGTATAGAAAATTATAATTTATTTATATTACAGGTTGATACAGATCACCGTAGGGTTTTGAATCCGCATATTTAAATATATTTGTAAATAACAAATATTTAAGCAATGGTATTTAATACAATGGCAGTGTATTCTATATTCAATACCTTAATAATATTGACAAAATATTACAAAAGTATCTGCAATATAATTCCTCTTTTCATTACAAGTACATATAATAATATATCTCTAGCAAAAATTATACTGTGATATTAATCTTTTTTCATATTAATGGAGTAAAAAATAATAATGTAATCATCGTCTGTATAAATGGACACCACCATGGTCATCACATCGTCATAAGACTGCTGTTGTACTCTTCATACGTTACCATTTCGCAATGCTCTGTTTCATGCCTTGACACCCCGCAACTTCACTGCTATATACTGTATACAAAATGCTTGGCGCCAATAGATAATAGATAAGACAGAGTTATCCACGTAAAGTTAACTTGGGTTAAAATAGAAATAAGCAGTCTCTCATCTCACAAGTTACCATAAATCTAAATCAATCTAAATGTCATTTCTTTCAGCCATGCACCCCTGTACCAAGACAAGACCCGTTTCGTTATGTGATTCTATAGCAATTCCTTGCTGTCGGCCAAACCGTTGCAAGCCATGTCCATATTACTGTTGCACTGAGCCTGCTGTCTGCTCACCCAAACGTTGCAGTTACCCTGGAGTTCCTGTATGTTCTGGCTGCTGTGGACTTTGCATGCCAGTGTGGTAACCTACAAGGAGCCTCAAACTGAACTAATTAAGGCATCAACGTCGTACTTTACAAGCGAGCTGTCTTTTGTACCACAGATGTAATCACATGTCCAAAGTGGCTTAAGTTTGGTTACCTTGTTACCTACAATGAAACGCTATTAAGTCCTTTAGTACACTGTATATGTCTATGTATTGTCAGAAATAAATAAATTTATGCATTCCTAAAAGTGTGATTATTTTTTATGGATCATAATTGTATGGTGCACCCGCCTGTGCTAACGGTTTACGCTGGCGGGACACCAGCGTAAACCGTTGCTACTAATGGGGTCATGAGTCCACATTACTAACAATTCCCCTTCCCCCTATATCTGATGTTAAATTTAAAATAGCTAAATCAATCATTGACTTAATATGCATGCCATATCATATGACTATGACAAACATTCGCGAATGTCTAGGCCAAATATAACGTGACTCTAAACATCTGGTAACTTCGACACATGGCTTAAGCTTAATGCTGAAATATACAAATGAATACATTAAGACATACATATATATGGGTGTAGCTAAAATCTAACATGAGTAGGTGGTTATTAAAATGGGTTCAGAATAAAAAAAATCTATTAAACCTACTAAATAGTTAATCAAAAAAATATCGGTTATATTTCCTCAATTGGCTTGATCGAGAATAGAACTCGACGATACGAGTTACCATTGTTATCCATTTTTGGACGTCGCCGGCGCGGCGGCAAAGTTGACCACTACAGATCAATAACTGAAATCAAACTTTTTGTTATAGATAACCTATTATTATTATTATTATAACTACATAACACTCTCGTTTATAAGAAAAGGAACTGTCAGTAATTTTCTTTCGTCTAGTGTCATTTTTTATAAATATAATGTACCTAAATATTAGGTAAAAAATAATAAAATTATCAAATATATACTAAAAATTGTAAAAACCTAACCATAATTTTTACAATTAGATGTGACAATAATTCACAATTTAATAAAATAGCTTTAATTACATAAACTACAGAAGAAACACCGGCATGTCAGTTCTACCACGAGGGTTTGAATGTATACGACCGTGCCCAAGGTACGGTTGTGTCAAAGGCGAGTACAGCGTGTACCATAAGCGACCAAGGTGTGGACAACCGCGACCACAGCCTTTCCAGAGAGAATGTGCTCGGTATTGTGGTGGACCAAGTAACGTACCGATAGAACGGTAGGTTTATTAAACTGCAATAAAAACTAATATATATAATTAAAGGTAAAATAAATTTGTCTGTCTGTTGTTACATTTTCATAACTAAACAGCTTAACAGATTCGTCGTGAAAAGATAAAAGAGAGACAAAATTAATTAATGGAAATAATTAATTAATGGTTTTTGTTTAATTTCGCTATCATTAGTATACTTGAAACCACAACAAGTACGCAGTGTTGAAAGCTGAAGTAGTATTCAGCTTTCAGCAGTGCTCTCTACACGGCCTTTTTAATTTTTAATAAGAAAGTGGTTGTTCGTCTTACTAGCTCTCCGTTCTTCTTTGCCAAATTACGACTCCAAAACAACTCTTAACATTTCTATAAGGTTATTTAGGTTCTGTATGTCCTTCATTTAATAAGTTAATTTCCTTGATTTATGCACATAATTGTAGTATTATCGACGAGTTTAGGAAATCTACGACACCACAAAAACAAAAACCACAAACGCAACTACATCTAATTTTATTTTGCAAGCTGTGTTTTGCTGGAAGAGTTATATTACAGAATAAGAAACATGACTTTTAGTCCTCCGAAATTACAATGAATGAGTAGTTTCTCGGACGTAATATGATAAGTTAATGTTCGTAGTACGGGTCATATATTATAGGCGATAGAAACCATTATTTATCAGATGGACAGTTATATAAAAAAAATAAAAGTCATACACATTATTGTACTAAAAACTATACTACTGAAGCTTTCTAATACTACTGAAAATATGACAAAAGTTATATGCATATTTTAATTACAGTGACGTACCATTCAGCATCTAATTGCAATATTGCTCACACACTGAATCCCGACGATTATTTCCGTAGCATGTAGATTGTAGGTATATTAATATAGTAACCATACGGTGTAGTACTTATATGGAAAACGCGGAAATAACTGGCACGACGACAATTCACCAGGTGAATTAAACTTAATTCAATCGTTATGCGTAATTATTTATATAATATTTTTGTTTTAGACCGTGCTGCTATGACTACCCTTGTAAAGCTGACTGTTTTAACCACGGCAGCTGTACGAGGCCCAGCGGTCGGTACGCACGTACTGTTTGGTATCCTGGCGAATGCTGTCCTGTCGTTCCACCATGTCAGGCCTTCACCTGTCCCAATCCACCATACCATCCTTGTTGTTATCAAACCTGTAATAAACTTGTTTAGATCGATCATGTTAAATTCTATTATTGACTTCCCTGTTCCTAGATAGCATAATTAGTATATAAATAAATTACAAAAATCAAGCGAATACAAAAAGCTTATAATATAACAAAGTATTAAATCCAAGAGACGAAAAATATAGCAAAACATTATTAAAAATAATATATAATATAACAATAAAAATAATGAGAACCTTTAGATACGAATACTATTCGTAGATTTTAGATTTCAGAGCTATTAAATAATCATTTGCTTAAGCATCTTTTAAATTTTATATGCATGGTAGGGTGGCCTCTACCTTAATACCTATATCAAAATGTTATTATTATACCTGATACGTATGCTACTATTATACTACTGATTACTATCAACGCCTTTATATTATCACCAAAATATGGTACATATGGTATCTCACAATGATAATATTTATTTAATATATTACACCGACATAATTAGATATATTTTATTTAATATAATTTAATATAAAATATATTTAAATATGTCGGTGTAAAAACTGCTTGGAGATGTTTTTGTTTGGTGAGTACCTATATATTGAACCTTATTTCAATTTGTTATAGAGTGTTAAATACACTATACTACAATTATATACAATACAGATATAAGACTGCTAGGTCTTGCAGTTTCCTCCCACGTCCCGAGAGACTTGTGTTTGCGATTAGTAATTTTTGTGCACCTTTCAAGATCAGTTGACTGCACGTTTCATTTTTTTTTTATTAATTTAGTCATATGAATTAAATACTTTTTAGTGACAACATAGTATGTTTACTTCATTATGTATTTTATCTGTGTATTATTCATATTTAATTTAATTGGTAAGTTATTAAATGTTATTGTTAATTTATTAGTAAAAAATATATTATTCTGAATAAAAGAAAACACAATATTGATTAATATTGTGTTGGTTAAGACATAATAAAAGAAAGTAGTGGGTATGTTTGATTTTATTTATTTTTGTCTCGCAATTTTGTTTTGGTTTTTTTTAACAATTCTATTTTACTAAAATTAACTAAATATCTCTAGTGACAATTTCAGAAATATTGGTACTATCAATATATTAAGAGATTATTACTCTGATTAAATGATTATTCAACGTATAAGGGGTTCTAGATTTTAAAGTTTCGTATTTACTACAAAAGTATTACTATATATATAAATATATATTATATATGTATCATAACAGACTAACTGCATGTCACCTCTAGATATCAACTAACAAGTAGTGAAATCGCCATGGACGGATAAATGACTTGACTTTTTTCTCATCCTGTCGTCTTTCGCTAGTGCTTCGCTGACTGAAACCTACCATTTTTTTTATGTATTATAATGGAATGGTACCTCCGCCTGTGCTAACGATTTACGCCGGCGGGGTACCAGTGGAGGATGATATGATGAGCATGAGGTGAGGTCAGTTAGTCCATCGTGACAATACCAATAATTTATCAGGATGGTGGACCGCGTGGAGGTCAACCTGACATGGTACATAGCTAGCGATAAGATCATCAAACCACATTATTAACAATCCCCTTTCACCACGGAAACCTACCGTTTTTTTTTAAAGGATGATGATGGAATGGTTCACTCGCCTGCGCTAATGGTTTACGCTGGCGGGGCACCAGTGGAGGATGATAAGATGAACATGAAATCAGATCAGTTAGTCCAACGTGACAAATTCACCGGGAATGTATCACGATGGTTTCCAGAGGGAACCGAGTGGAGGTCAACCTGACATGGTACATTACTAGCAATGGTGTCGAGAGTTCACATTACTAACAATCCCCTTCCCCCCCCCCCCTACCGTTAGCGCAGGCCAAAGAAGTATGTGAACTGCATACATCAAATAAACTACAGAAGTATTTCATGACACTCCTACGGAATAAGGGGTAACCGGTTACTATGGGCAAAACGCCTTATGTTATATACATTTTCATACACTACAGTGTGCAAAAATACTGCGCAAACTTACTCTACATAAGAAATGACATCAATCTTCTTATCAGAATATATTCCGCTACCCACAAACCTACCATAACCAGTTACGTAGTTTACAACAAAAAATATATTTACATAATGTATATCTTTAATATAAATCAGGAAGTACCTACTCAGATAGATTAGTGAAGATATAAATCCTTTAAATAGGTACTTGCATTAGTGTGCCATTAACCATTCAGATTGTTTGATGGTTAATATATAGTTCTAATGTGTAGATTCTGATGTTAATAATGCATTAGTCATAATATCAATACATGTCAAAGATTACATAGAGGAACTTTTATTTATATTTTTTAGTCTAATATTTTTCTCCTACTTCCTAGAAAAAGTGTGTAATAATGACTACATATTTATCTACATTTTCTTATGCTTACATATTTTACATGCATAAGCAGTACAACTTATAATGTAAGCATAAGAAAATGTATCCGTCTTTACCTACCTTTACCTTCCTATGGACTTCTAGAAATAACTCCAACTAAAAATATGACAGAAGAAAACAGAATGGTTCGGGAAAATTCAAATGCGGAAAATGTCCTTACCGAATTATAGAATTCATTATCCTCATTGACAAATTTATAATATACCTATAATATGTAAAATGCGGAATTAAGGGACATTCAGAAGCATGTTTTTAACATCTAATGTCATATACTATATATATTGTTTCGATGAACTCTTTAACTACGAAGTATAATAGGCCATTTAGCCTATTATACTTCGTAGTTAAAAGAGTTAGCATTTATATTAAATACAATCATCATGACTAAATATGATTTGAAAAAAAATGGTGCAAATGTAAATCCTCCGATTTACATTGCGAATGTAAATCGGAAGCATTCTTTTTCACCAAACTTTCACCAAAATCGAAACCATTTTTTTTCACCAAAGCGTCTAACTAGCGCTTTGGTGAAAAAAAATGGTGCGAAAGTGGTGTTAAAGTATGTACGACACCAGACTTTATGTAATCATTATTTTAAGCTCATGATATCATTTATGTTAAATTTATAGCTCTCAATACCTCCACATGTCGTATTCAAATGTAATGTATCTATACGTAACAAGAATGTACTTAACTTATGTTTGTAATTGCTTTATAATAGATTTGGTTACACTTGTAATGATATTGATGACAATTTATAAGCATACTATGTTTAGCTAATAGGACTCGTTTGTAATATATGTTATATACATATATATGTAAATGTTTATTACATATATATGTAAATAAATTATTTAATCATGTAACCAGTTCAGTTATCCGTAGTATAACCCCGTGCTGCATTCCGGCATTAAACAATAGTACCAAGATGATTGAATTGTTCCGTCCTTTTTTTGTAAATTAGTTAGATAAATAAATTTGTAAATGGCAAATAACGTATTTTAGGTCGGACCGATAGAATAGAATAGAAAATCCTATATCCAAATAAACTTAATTTAGGCATGTGCCTAAATTAAATAGTTACAGTTCTTTTTTCTACTACTTATTCGGAAAGCAGTCTCATCACAAGATAAACGAGGAAGAAATTTGCGTGTTGCTCTTTAACTTTGTTAACCAACTATCTCGTAGAGTACTTACCATGAATTAAAAAAATTAGGATATTGGGTTTAATCTAATGGTCCTACATTGAAATATGAATAATACAAATTTATATTGATTATTATGTTCAATGTACCTAATTTATTGCTTTTTTTGTATTATTATAGGTAATCTCAGAGCTCGCCAGCCGGATATAGATATCAACAGGTTAGTCAGTGACGCAAAAAAGTTTGGCAAGAATTGCTATGACAATTCATTTCGTCGACATTACCATCATATCTTTTAATAACTAGGAAACTATTGCTACCGGGACACTAGTTATTAGACTTTAATTCAAATTTTGGAATGACTCTTCTGACTATTTTATATTTTTGCCTACTATATTTTGAAACCAATTTTTAGACAACTCTAGAATTGACAAATCAAGTATTCCCCACAGTGACTGTAATGCTAGAATACTTCTAATGACACGATCTATTGTAATGTACTTCAAGCCAAGTTCCTTACAGCGTTGGCGCAGGCATAACAGAATGTTACATATATTCTTACACGGATAATAACTACCTAACATGAATACATAATGTCTATTTGCACTTTAGATAGGTACCATATGATCTATCTGACTAAGAGAAGTTAGTCTACAAATATTCCGATAAAATATAACACATAATCATATAAAATATAGTATATGAAACGTTATTATGTTATTCTTCAAAACAAACCGTTACCTTCATGTCCAAATATCTCTCATATTGAGCGATTTCACTGAAATAGCACTCTGTGCGTCATTTCTATTCCTATATTTCAATACAAATATCAAACTGCATAACACCGCACTGTTAGGTAAACTACAAATGCTGTTTTTATGTAATAGGAATGGCAAACAACGTGATTATAGTAAAGTCACCTATAGATATACATAATAACAGCAAAGGCATCAGATTATCAAATGACGCTCATGATACTACTTATTCGTTGCTATAAGATATGATGTCTTTCACCTTTAATACCACTACCGTACTTTCAGCCTAATTTAACCTTATAATCGACACACAAGCTGTGTTTCAAAAATCAAGCTGCTTTACGGCTGAATTATTTTCACAATACAAATGCAGACAACTTTTACAACGTGTATAATACTCGATTTATTGTATGTATAATTAACTCTAATATGGACTCTTAATTGGATAAAAATGAATGCTGTATTGCTTAAAATCACTTAAATAAGCTATTTCTTCCCATAAAATGTAAAGGATAAAAAATGGTTATTGTGGTTTATCCATAAGAGATGGATATATATTAAAAAGGTCAAAAAAAATGTCCTTTTTAAGGTGTACTGTAGTACATTATTTTAATTTTTCTCGTGGGTTCAGCCAGCGTTTGCGATAGATGTAGTTTATTTACGACATCATAATAATATTAGAAACCTCTAAATTTATCAGTATTTCTCTACTATATTATGCATGTATTATACAGATAAATCTTCCAGTTGAATCACTGGATCTATTAAAAATCCGTTTCAAAATCCGTTGCGTAGTTTCATATATATAAGCATACATAGGGACGGACAGGTAGAGACAGCTGCTTTGTCTTATACTATGTAGTGAAGTGAAGATTAAATAAATGTAATCTTATGTGATGTGCATCACAACACTTCAGTATTCTTAAAAAATCAATTAATATTGCTATTATTTTGTTAATCATTTCTAAATGCTAGTGGTGGAAATTTGACTTAATTTAAATTATCTATAAGTTTGAAATATATTAAGATTATATTGTCAAAGACAATACTTCTATAGTCACAAGCACTGGCGGTCGCACAGACAAACAAAAGAGTGTATATTTCATATAAAATATAAGTAAAATCTAATAAAAGTATTCCATTTTTGTTCCAGGGTGAAACTAGTACCTAAATCGAGATCGAACATTGATTCCAAGGCCATTAATACACATAACCATCGCTCTTTGGATCTGATACAATTAAGTAGAAATCATGATTATGACGATCGTGGCCGCGGGGTCCACGAATGGCACCCGCAGATGCACCATCTCCATAGTTCGCCCTCATACAAGGAACCAAAGACGCTCAAAATACACGAGTCCCCAGAAGACCCCCGCCTCTTTTACCAATCTGATGTATATCTTAAAAAAATTAGTCAGAAAAACATAAATAATGAAGTCTCGTATATTTATCCAGGTAGAGAAGTGATACGAGCTTCTGAAAACTCAATAAAACGTACGCCTATCCGCTCACAACGTATGAAAGCGAATCTTATTACCAAAGGTAAGATAACCATCAATCAAATTCATAATATTACATAGTTAAATATTATATAGTATACTAATCTACATATTTAGACAATATAAAGAAAGTAGTGTTAGTGGACAACCATAGAGAACATGGCTGGATTACAGTCTATAACGATTTATAGCAATCAGTAGTAATAGAAAACATACTGCGCCGATCCCAAATAATGAGATAACAACATAATATACCTAAAGACAAGGACATCTATTGAGATTCTAGTTTACAACGTTCATTGTATAAATAATCTTATCTTTAAGAGTCATATAGAACAAAGTGGTTACATTTCATATGTCCATTATATATTTTCTGTTTTATAATTATAAGGTTATTGCCAAAAAATTAAAATGATAAAAACCTTAAAATAATTTATCAACGTTTTCTTTAGCAACACTTGTTACCTTTTTGCGTCATATCGGTTCGAAATTGAATCATACAATTATGTTATAACTAGGTAACTAAAATTCGATACGAAAAATCAATCAATATTATCACAGATAACATAATATTATATAATATTATTAAGTTTTTTGAGGTTAGCATAATATAATATTTAATGATACAATATAATTTTATTTTCAGATCACATATGCGTTAGATGTCCGAACGATAGAACGTTAATAGCCAGGCCGGGATCAAACCGTGTCATTCTGCAGCATCCACGTCTGCAGTCTTGTAAACCCGGAAAAAGAGTACCTAAAAATGCACAATTCGTTCGCATGTATGGCCCCGAATTCGGTTCTTTATTGACAGAAGGCAGCCACATGCTAGTTGGACGGATTACTCATTTGGAAAAAGTAAGTTATGTAGTTTTAGGTGGTCATTTAACTTTAACAGGCGAGTCGTCCCCTCCGATCAATACCCCGTCCAGTCCAATTCCAACGAGGATCAAAATTCCCACTCATAAGGCAGAAGTTGGCCTTCAGCCGATCCATAAGTCCTTCGGCGAAGGAGCTGTAATAGTTCGCTACAGCCAAGTGTTATAATAGTTCGAAAATCAAAGGCGAGTCGTTACCTTCCTCGTCATAAAAGGTTTTGGCCTGCCGGATTGAATATTGTGTGTATATAATATGATTTTATCCAAATCCATGTACCTTCATACACTTTTATGTGTAATAGGTTGTAATATACTCGTCCTTACTAGTCGACATCTATAAGATGAAACAAAGTGGTGACATATATTGTATTTTTTATCCGTCGGCACATAGTAAAGTTCAGTGCTGCCCCAAAATTTTATATAATTGGAATGACAAACATGCCGACTTATCACCTGATGGTAAGTGGTAACTGTCCCTTATATATATGAACATCTTTAGGGATATGACGTTATCATATGACACACGTGAACTACAACTCATGCTTTGCCATTCTAATGAAGTCATGCCTCATATCCCATAAATTACTTCCTAATCGCATGCTACAACCGGAACAGAGCTTTTAATAAATGAAATTGATGTTTCCACTCAGACAGCAGTACAATATACCTTTCGTAGACTAGAAATAGAATATATAAAACAAATAGTATAAGTATAATTAATTACAATTAATTTTACAGCCTCTACAAATTTGCAAAATGCAAATATATGTAGTATCCCAAAGCTGTCCTGCGCCCGAGAATTTGATACTTCATTGTGAGAAAGGGAATAAAGTCTGTAACTTTACATGTCGATATCCTGATCATCTATTATACGGTGCTAAAAGTTTAACCTGCGGTACTAATATGAAATGGAATGGAACTCTTCCTATTTGTAAAGGTAGGTATAATTTGGTATTGTAATACATTTCATTGTCATAATTAAGGTACAATTAGTAGTAGGTACCTTAATTATAGCAATGGAAAGTTTACAGACTATCTATATATGTAGAGGAATATTTATGTATTTCTACAGCACAAATTTCGTGCAACCCTCCGACACCGCCGGATCATGGTCGCATAAGCTGTAAAGGAGGTACATCTCTCAATGGGTCCCGTCTACTCGATGGATCATTATGCCGAGTTCGGTGCAGACTCGGCAGGCGATGGACACCCAAAATCACTTCTATCTGCCGCCGTGGGGTTTGGACTCGTGATCTCACTTGTCAACCGAGAAAACATTGATGCAAAATTTTGAGTGTATAGGTATGTGCGCAATACATACCTATACACTCAAAATATGCGGATGAACATCATAAAAAGTACTTATTACATAAATTATTAGTAATTTATCTAAATTAAATATCCTTAAATTATACTATACGTCAATCTTATTGTCTATCCGTCTAACATTTTAATAATAGATATTATAAATGCGAATGTTCATGAGTAGGTATAGATATATTATATAATATAAATTGGGCAAGTGTGATGCAGAAGAACTGTTAAAAGACTTTCAAGTATAGTATTATTATTCTTTTCTGTTCATAATTAAAGGAATGATTCTGGAAGCCCTTCCATATGATTCTAGATTCCAGATGTGAAATACAAGGTTGGGTAAGTAATCATGACATCACTTCCCAATGCGAATCAGATGTTATAGTCGACATCTAATTGCGCCTAGTTAGCGGGATAATATAGATTCTGTTCTGTTCATAAGAACATAAAAGAATCGGTTAATGTAATTGCATTTAGGAAAGTACATTCTGTTTAAATAACTACTCGACTACTAGTTAGGGGTCATCAATAAATTACATCACACGAATTTCAGGGGTTTTTAACCTCCTCCGGTCCTTGTCACATGAGTATAAAAAACTGTCTGTCTCATAATTCTTTAAAACTACGCAACGGATTTTGAAGCGGTTTTTTTAATAGAGAGTGATTCAAGAGGAAGGTTTACGTACGTAATACATGTAAACCCGTGCGTGTGCTTTAATAAAATCTACATTAAGTCAAATATTTAAAATGCAATGACAACTAATGACTAGTTAAAAGAATAGACACCTAATCATGCTAATTAAAAATATAAAAGTTAATCATCTTTTATCCATCGACTTTGGACCCACTCCTTCATATTATTTATTAGTGGTACCTAAATCAGGCGCTTCATTTTCGTTCTGAATGTGGACGTCAGGATCATCCTTCGTGTCAACATCGTTTTCTTCCATGCATAAAGCATCGTAATAACAGAGAATTTCTCGGGCACGTCTAGTCGCAATTCTTTGAGGACGAAAGTTAAATGTTGCTTGGGATATAATCTCATAGCGAAAGTGCAAAAGTATTAAAAAATATAATTGTATAAATTTTGCGTTTGCGCAGGCCGAGTTTTGAAATGTGAAATCAAGGCTTTTACCGCCCGTCCACCCTGGGCCTTTGTCACATAATGTCAATTTCTGATGATACGCTCCCCCTTTTAATGTGTGACGTAATTTATGGATGGCCCTTTAGGTGTCCAAGAAATGTATTTAAATATAATTATTTATAGGTAATAAATAAATTTTATTCTTTCTTTAATGTTTCATTTCAAACCACGGAGAAAAGCATGAATGTAATAGGTACCACAGGTAATAGGTAGGTACCTACTTTTACTAATAACATTAAAATTTTGGATGCAATTATCTTTCAAAAGTTTCAAATAATAAAGCGTTTATCCAATCCTAGTAGTATTATTCCAATCCACATAAATTGTCATTTCCCAAAATGGACTTACTGATATGACTTCATGCTCACCTTATCATTCTCCACTGGTGTCTCGCCAGCGTAAACCGTTAGCGGAGGATTATGTAGGTATATCATACCATTATTATTAAAAAAAATATCCCAAACCACAGAACAATTTTATTTAAATACGTAGCTAGAAACAGCATGGGTGCGTGCCAATACTACGCGATAGTACACTTGATCGGTGCGGATCAGACATGTTTTTAATACGCTTGAGCAAAGCCACAATGAATTCGTTTAAAAAATATCATATTCATTTCATAATCACAATATCATTTGGAAGTGTTGTATGAGGTTGTTATTTACTATACACTGTTAGTCTCTAGTTATTTGAGCAATATAATAATGTAATAGGTATATGACTAACTCAAAAACATCTCCATCAGTCTTCATTTTTTACTATTAAGAATAAATAAAAATGTATAGTAATTTGTATTAATTTTATAATATGGCAATGAAATATTGCTAATAATTAAAGAACGAATAACAAAATACTCTTATATACTTATTATACTATCTTTATTACACATTTAAATAATTTTATATATGTCTATATTAATAATTTCGTCAAGGGGTAAGGTAGACTCGAACAAAACCTTATGTGAATAACAAAACATAAAAAATATTGATTTCTAGTCAACAACATATGTCCGCAAAATTCGGGTTATGGAGTATTTCGTTAAATTCTAATGACACTGACAAATGGCGATTGCAGTTTGCAATCGCCATCTATTCATGTCACTATCTAGCAACCAATCAACACTACGCGTGCGTTCGCGCCAAAGATCCATCACAAAGGACTGTGACATATGACATCTGTCGTTGACGTTTCGCGAAAATATAGTTTTTGACACTTTTTTATGATAAAAGAGGTAGAAGATATCTGAAGAAGGAAAAAAGAAATTAAAATACAGAAATTATACTAAAGACAACGGCTGTATGGGCTTAGACTCTTTGCCTTTCCATTACGGATAAATAAGACAAAAAAAAAATGATAAAAGAGTATACAGTTGTGTTTTTTCTTTATATTGGCCAATTGTGAGACAAATTTGACAATATTTTTTTTTATTTCACGGCTCTGGATACAACGCCCCTTTTTAGTCCAACTTAAAGTTTTACAATACAAAAATTAAAGTCAATATAATAATATCCAATGTCAAATAATAATAAATGTCAAATGTTGTTTCTCTGTTCTGATGAACTTATTAAAAAAAACTTAAAACAATCACAATTTCTTCACATTTTATTATTACACACATAATGCCAGGTATTTGCTTTTTTAAATAAGGTTGTGGCACTATTGGAAATTAATGTTTTTTACTCATTTTTATAAGTTTTACGGAAATAATGTGTGGGTGTTTATTTAAAAAGCAATAACACAAAATTAATGAAGTATAGGTAGGTTACAACCATATATTAATAAATATATGGTTGTTGTATCAAAATAGATTTTGTTATTTTTCACTAAAATAAAGACTAACTGCCTTTTTTATAAAACAAATTACCTTTTCATAGTGTCAAATATTATTTAACTGATTGTAAGAAAAAAAATGTTGGTTTGTAGATTGATACTGTAAAAATTACTATTTGTACGGAAACGACAAAAATATATTTTTATTCTGTATAACACTACGACAGTAGTGGAAACATTACTATATGTACGTAAATTATAAAATTCTGTTATGGAAACGTCATATTAAACTTTAAAACTAATTTGTTAGAATAAAAGTTTCCGATAAAATAAATCGGTATAGGGTACTGGCACCAGTAGTCAGCCTTTTAGTGGTAAGTCTGGGTTCAAACTTATATAAGAAAATATTAGAAAGAGTAAATTGAAAGTCTTTTGTATAATTTAACTTACTCATTTATTAAACTTTGTTACAAAATTAACAAAAAATACAAATTTATCCTTTAATAAAGTGAAAAATACTTTTTAACAAAATAAGGCACTTTTCACCAGTGCTCAGCCGCCAAAAACTAGTACTCAGCCATATTGCCACCAGTGGTCAGCCTCTCTTAAGATCCATAGTTTCAAGCTTAAAGATTAAGAACATTAATAAACAATTAGTCCGGTCATAGAACCTAAAAGGACTTAACTGTGCCCTAACAATCACAACAATCAAATACCTATCTAACTTATATTTAAATCAGTTGGAAACTTTTTTAGTAACATCAGTATTTAAAAAGATTTCAAGTTCTTCTTCTTTCTAAAAGTCGCCGATAAACAATTTTTTTAGGAGCTTATCTTCCTTACAGGTTTCTGTGTCAGGAGTTTCAGGATATAGAAGTATATTACTGAGAATTTTAAGTTTATTTTGTTTTGATTTCCACTAAATCACAGCCTGTCTTTGTGCACTTTACGCTCAATTCCTTATTATAATCATAATTTTTCTTCTTTGTAGTCTCCTTCACTTTACTTTTGGTAGAATCTAGATCTGCTTTTTTTTTTCTTTTTTTGTATAAAAAACTATATAAAAAACAATTTAAATATGGACGGTTGAACTCTGGGTCTACTGTCACCAGTACTCAGCCATGTAACAAACTCTAACTATTTAAGTGGCCGACTATTAGGTTTTTGACAAACAGCGTTAAAACCAGTAGTCAGCCAGGGGTGGTTGAGTACTAGATAATGTATATAAAAATGGGACCCTGTAGTCGGCCACTTCATTATTCAATAATTCTTAAGAAAAACATGATACTTTTCATTGATTACAATGCCAAAAGTCTTAATTAATGTAAATTTTAATACAAAGTGGCCTAAAATTAACAAAATAATGAAATAAATTACCATTTCTGTGAACGCTTCTCACTAATAAAAAAATGGCGCGCACGCCGCATGTCGCCTCGTCAGCCGATGACGTCGAAATAGATTCATATTTAATGTACTTCGCAGCCACGTAGCTATTATGTTTGAATTTAATTCTAGCAAAGAGAAGTCATAGAAGCTATTTAAAATAATTTGATTATGTATTTTCTGTTATAGCGCTATTCCTATTGGTTTTAAACCGAAAAAGGCTGAATACTGGTGCGGGGCCGACTACTAGTGCCAGTACCCTAGCTACTCCGCTACAGGTGGTAACATTATTTGAAAATTTGACATTTAAACGTGTCAATTTAGTCTCCCAGATTAAAAAACAAACTATAACCGACTATGGCACTTACAAATTAATTACTAAGCTAGGTAGTTGGTGTCCCTGTAGCCCCGAGCCCTGCATGTTTATGGGGGCTCGACCCCAGAGTGGGAGCATAGCAAATGGCTAACGCGGGGCGAGAGGGAAGGTTGGAAGGAAGAGGAAATGGATAGAAAAAGAGGAAGAAGGAGAAAAGGACGGTGGTGGACCACGTCGCGCCGCCATCGCGAAAGAGCGACAAAACTAGGAACTCGGCAATCCCGGAGAGTCGCGCGGACTAAATAAAAAAAAAAGAATGAAAATATTTGATATTTATTTATTCAGTAACAATTTATATTGTGTTTGAAATTATACAATTTTTGCTGCTAAGAAATTCATTAACACTGTAAAATGATTGCTCCAACAGAAAACAATGCAACCTCCTCCTAAAAAGCTTCCAATTATGTATTTTCTTTAAACTATTGGGCAAAGAGTTGTAAAGCCTTACTGCTTGGAAACCCTCACCATGCTTCACAATATTAAGGGTTGGTTTTATAATGTTAGGGTAATCCATTCTGCGAGTACTTTCCCTTATGTCTCGATTCTCCCTGGTCTCACTACCAACAATACTTTTTACAAAATCTGTTAATAGCACCAATATGTATAAGCATGGTACAGTCAAAATTCTGTATTCTTTAAAATATGGCTTACAGGATTGCACTTGTGGTATACGGACAATAGTCCTAATAGCTCTTTTTTGTAATATAAACGCCTTATTTATATTGTATTTATAACTATTGCCCCAGAACTTTATACTATATCTAAGTTTTGATTCCACTAGAGCATAATAAACAGTCTTCAACTGATCAACAGTAAGGTCATCTCTGAGACTTCTAAGTGCATATCATGCAGAACTGATACTATTTTCCATTGAGTTAAGTTCACGTTTCCAGTTCAAATATTCATCCAATTCAACTCCCAAAAATCTGACCGATTCAGCCAGATCAATTCTTCTACCATTTACAACAATATCTATAGTGTCCTTAACTTTCGCTGTACTTTTGAATAATAATGCATGTGTTTTGTCTATGTTAAGTATTAAATTATTCGCAGGAAACCAAGTATCGAAAATGGAAAGTAAGTGATTCGTCTTCTCAGTCAGTTCATGTAAACTTTCAGCAGAAACGATAGCATTTGTGTCATCTGCGAACATAACTACACTAGCATCATTAGTAGAATGTGTGATGAAATCTGCTAAGTCATTAATAAATAAAACAAATAAAATAGGTCCCAGAATTGAACCTTGTGGCACGCCTCGTTTTACTGTTGTCATTTTAGATGAATAAGTAACTTCACAATTATTTTCAACATTCTTAATTTCTACGTATTGTCGTCGATTTTGCAGATAAGACTTAAATAATTTTAACTCTTGTCCTCTTATGCCATAAAATTCTAATTTTCTTAACAGGAGATCATGATCGACAGTATCAAAGGCCGAAGTTAGATCCAGAAAGAGACCTACGACTTTTTTCTTTACATTTAATTTACTTAATATGTCGTCTATCATTATACTAATTGCATTAAAAAGAAGAAAATGACGATCAAGAAGGGGAAAGATATTTGGATGAAGCAATTGGTTTTAAATATCTGGCATAGTAGTGAGTGCTTAAAACAAAGAGGTTAACAGAGAATAAACCTTAAAAGATATATGTTTTGTTAATTTATTTTGAATGTTGATTTAAAATAAAAATTATTTGTATTTATACTAACTTTATACAACTTTTGCACTTATTATTTACTATAGCATTTATTAAACACAATGAACGAAGCTTTACGAATTTATGCTTTGCTTACCTTTAATATTCTTTGAGAACTGATGACTACAGAAATATCTACCCGAGCGAAGCCGGGTTTTCATCTAGTATATTAATAACGACATACAGTAATGTCAATAAAATAAAAATTATCCGGAAAACTAAACGTTTATCGATAACCGTATTTTCTAAACATACGAATAACAAATATAAAATTATTTTTATTGGTTTGGTTTCGTACCCAATTCATTACATTTGTTAAGGTGTGTTGTAAAAGAGAATAAGAGGAGTATGTATGCAGGTTGTGGTACTTTATATCTACTTCGGTGTTTTGTGTCCTTAAGCATAATAGTATAATTACAATAATGATTGGTTGTATTTGAAATAATAGCAAATAGTCAAGACTTGAGCACTGAGCGTATTTTAAACCCTTCTCTACGTGCACCTAATAAAATTCATTTCAAAAATTATTTAACCTAACCAAAGCCGCTTATTTTGCTGTAGCTTAATTTGTGCTTAAAAGTTCTTATTAAAAAATTAATATAACTATTCATACAGAATAGATCTGAGCAAGAACTTAATTTCTATAATATCTCCATATTGTTTGTGTTTATAATTTAATATTAGAACTCGTCGCAATTGACAAAAAACTCGAACTCATAAGGCTGGCAATACTACATCTAAAAATTATTTTGATAGAGTATGCAATTATTATTACAGATAACCCTTAGCTTCGTTTAAGAGGTAATTAATATAAAATTTGCTAAATTCTGGAAACTTAATGTATTAAAATCCAATGAATTTTTATACAAATTATTTTCTAGACCTATACTTTTTAAAAAAGCATAAAATTCATTAGGATAAACAGTCAGTCTTTGGTATGGTATCCCTAAAATATTTTTTTATTTTTGAAAAAGGAATGACAGTTTTGACCGTTACGTAAATAAATTTATTATTTTTTTTCATTAACATTGATTCAAAGTTCATTTAATTTTACTTATTTTCCCAAGTTTACTATTTTTTTACTTATGTTTAATATGTTCTGTTAATAATACTCTTAAGCCGTCGTTTTCTGAATCAAGTAAAAATCATGGGAAGTAATACTAGTAAACCTAGTAACGATACAAGTATTTGTTCGAAGAAAAACGACGACTTTAGTGATAATTCTGCGGATCCCCGGTCACCAACGCCAGAAATAATACGGACACCATTGCAGGTAGTTCTGTGAATCAATTTCAAACCATAATTTCCATTGAATTCTTTCATTTTTTCACTGACCATTTACTAGTGCATTGGCGGTTCCATCCGTTAATTTTCTACAAGATGTATTTTACAAAACATGTCGCATTTTGTACAATAAATAATTATAGAATTGATTATGTTGATTATCTTCGTTTTACAGTATTTGAAGTGGTCATAGTATTTTTTCTCTTACTGATTAGTAAGAGAAAAATCTATCTATCATAATTGACATTATATACATGAATGCAAAATACAGCAATTATTATATATGTTTAATAAATTAAAATAATATTACTATGTTTACTTAATAATATCTTTTTGTATATAGATATGTATAAGCAATTTAGTACAATAATAATAATTCATATACATTAACTCATTTAGTATAATATATTATTATTTTCTCAAATAGGTGGAATATGAACTGTTCATAATACTTAATTATTGAGACAATTATAAAGTTGGTAAACTTTTTTTATAGTTGTGTACATTATCAGATTATCATTATTATGAACAGAATATGTTACATACATATTCTGTTCCTGGGTCAATCTGGGCCCAGAATGTTTATAACAGCATTAAAATATTGAATTCCCTTAATAATTATTACCAATGGTAATAATTATTATTCTGTTATATAATATCTACAATTCGAATACAAATCTAGTTGGTCTGATTTTGTTTACTACTACTCATAGTGTATTCATCTTTAAGCTTCACCTTATTTTTAGACAGGAGGAAATGGGTGGTACAGCATACCAGTACAAAATTTGTGCTACCTTTGTTGCTGTGTGATTTCCCATATAGTTATAGTGAAGTACAACTCTATATTACCTTAGTATTGGTACTAAAGAGGCTAAATCTTTTTCTGTTCTTTACGCTACCAAACCCACTTTGTACTTATTTTAACAACAAAAATTTTCAAAGTCTCTGAGAACTGTAAATACTTGCCAGTATTAGTTTCAACATTATAGTCTTCTTTTTAAACAAAAAATTAATTGGAATATATTTTCTTATCTATAGGGCAAGCCTAATGGAAAGCATAACATAACAAAAAATGTGGACTTGAGAAAAACATTTGAAAATGCTAAAACTGAAGAAAAGTTGATTCATAACAACCCTATTCTTTCTGCCGTTATAAAGAATCACTTGCAATCCTATGATCCTCGTTCCCCAACACAAGACTTTGAAAGAACTCCTATTATAATTACTTCTAAAATAGACAAGCTTCAAAGTAATATACAAGAAGAAACTGGTAACAACTGTGGAAGTCCATGTCTGAGGACTGATTATGAGGAAATCAATGAAAGTTTAGAGGAAGCAGCAATCATTGTCCCTGATACACTAATACCTAAAAACTTATGTGATGGATTTTATGACATCACTCTTAATGATACACTAAAAGAACCTGATGAACCACTTGGATCATCTACAGCATCAAATGAAGCAATAGAGGCAAATATATCAGACACAGAACCAACCAAATTGCTAGAAACAAATTTCGAATATGTAGAAGGAGAAAATAATAAGACTGATGAAAATGTTTTTAGCGGTGATGATATAGATTTCTTTAAATTTGACATAAAACAAATTCCTGTATTTAAAATTCTTGATGAAGATCCTCGTTCACCATCTGTTGGTATAGAGAGAACTCCTATAGTGGTTGCAAAAAAAACAGAAAATATTTCTAATGAAAATGTGGAACATATGTCAGATGATAGTTTAATTAAAGTTCTACAGAATACAAATGCTGAACTTCGTCAAAATGTAGTAAAACCCCAGGAAAAGAATTCAGATGGTCTGTTAATTTATGAAGATGAATCTGATAATATTAATGATACACCCAAGAAGTCCAAATCAGCAAGTAATAGTGGCTCAAGAACACCTCTTTCTTGTATGAAAAATAAGTCTGACACTGGACATTCGAGATCAAAATCTGCAAATACTTTATATGACCCAAAAAATCCTGCTATTGGTCTGTCGAAAGTTTCTAGAAAAGCATCGCATATACCTAGATTGAAATCATTATCAAAACAAGTTAAAACTATTTCAACAGGAAGTACTATATCCTTAAAAACTATAGGAAAAACTGCTACATTAGGAGGAGACTGTGAAAATACACCACCACACTCACACCGCGATAAATGGGACAAGAATAGCAGTATTGTACTTTGAAAAGTATTTTACGAGGATAAATATGTATTCTTTTCTAACTTAATCATTTAGTAAGTTTCTATAATGTAATTCTAATTTCTCTTTACTGTATCTGCTGTAATGCAAATATTGATTGACTTGGCTTTAATTTCAATTTACACTCATGATTGTTAAAGCCTAATAAATGTAATCTACAGTATTTATAAGGTTTGACAATAAAAATAATATTTGTATACTTTGTAAATGTGTGATTATTTCTTTAAAAATCGAATTATGGAATAGTTAGGATTTTAAATTATACTAATCCCCACCTCATAAATGATATTGATCTATGTCAAACAACATAAAATTCTAAAAAATATTTGTTTACTCGTTTCTTTGTCTATATATGGTTTTATTAGCCACAATATTTTTTTAGTAAGATACATGATTTTGATTTCCTGGTGATGGTCTCAAAGACAAATAATTTTAAGTACAGATGAGACTAACATGTTATAACAGAAATTAAAATTTTACTAGTGAATGAATAAAATAAAAAAGATTGTAATTTCAATATATTTATTTCAACATTTATATTTCATACAGGAAATACTACTACTTGACTGAAATACAGAACGTTTATTTATGCTGGTGACAAATTACAATTTGTTAAAGAAAAAATAAATCTTAGCGTAGTTAAAAAAATTGCATCAAAATTACTCTTCACTGGAATGATTATACAACACTGAAATGGTCAGTTAATTTATGAAGTTTAAAGTTTAAGCAGTTTGACGACTTATTTTTTTCTTCTTACAGCCCTCGAAATTCTATAAAAAGAAATGTATATCATAAATTTATTTATATTTTGTAGGCCTCAATTTTATAATTAATCTAAGCAAAATTAACAGTCAACCAAATATCTGTTATAAAATACAAAAGATTATTTTACTGTTGTGATTGTGGCAGTACGTTTGCAAATCCTTTATAATGGCTTTAGTAGTAAAAGTATGAAATCAGATGTATAATGTTCATAGTGTTTTCCAGGATTCAATTTCTTTGTCCCATTATTTGAATAAGCTTATGGATACACAACACAAACAATTGTATCAATAGACTGAGATATATATATGACCCATCAGATAGTTTACTTATTTGTACTTGTTTTTTATGCTATTTGAATTGACTACATAAAGAGGGAACAATATAACACAGGCCAATTGATTAATGTACAATTTCAATTTTATAATATGGATACTGAATAAGCATGACAGTGCCATAATTAGATTTTATAATCAAATATTAACTATAGAGAGACAATTTACCAAAAAAATTAGGGGTGCTTGGATTGATCATAGCGGGTTATAATGCAGCAAAACTATAAGCCATTTGGAAATGGTTGTTGAGCTGACTGGTGTCAACTAACCATAGAGCAACAATCTAAGATCAAACCTGAACAAGCAAAAAAATTCTAAACTCAAGTTTTAATTAATCACCTTATCCGGAAAGCTACACTTTATGACGTGCGAAACAAATCACAAATCTCAATAATCTTCCAGCGACCTATTGTCTTGCCGCATACCAAGCCAACCTGGATCTACACCATCGTTTTAAATATTATGAACCATAACAGACTAACATATAGGTACCTAGATTTGATATATTTGATCCTCGTCGAGACAGCCACATTTTTAAATTAATATGATTAAACGTAATAAAATAAACTTACATTTAGTGAGTACAATTAAAAAAATAATGTCCGTACAAAATTTTCTGCCAACATTTGAATGTTTCTTTGTTACAGAATTGTAATAGCTCTAACTCTATCGTAAGAAATATATATAATTGTAAACTAGCGGAGGTACTATGAACCGTATGTATAAACATGAATAACATCAGAAATTGGACTGTGACCGCATGGCAAATAAAGAATGCACTACTTGTTCCTGTCTGTAAATTAGTAACATTATTACATATAACCAATAAATATAAAATTCATAAAGTTCACAATTATTACTGGTTTTTATTTTGTGTCTTAAACGCTGCATTTTTTTATAAATGACTACATCGCATGTCTCATACAAGTTTATAATTTTAATAGGAAACAGACAAACCTAAGTTTTAAAGAACTAACTTGATAAATGCCATAATATAATTTTTAGTCGACTGCCTTAAAATTCGCGCTATTAAGATAAACCCAGCGCATAAATTTAACTATTAAGTAGACAAGACCAAATAACGCGATTTCAATATTCGTCTATGCATATTATTAAACAGTGGACCTACTATGAAAGATTGTTATATTATGCGTTACAATTATTAATTAATTTGGCACTAAATTATATGCCTATTGAACATCATGTCCAATAATATATGTAATAACTAAATAAAGGAATGCTTTTGAAAAACAATAATAACGGTATAGTATCCTGTCAACTCTGATTTAAAATTGCATATTCTATCACATTTAAAGCATTACAAGCGAACACCAATTCATCAAAGATTTTAAAATTGTTACATCATGATATTACTCAATATAATCTTTAAAAAATACTCTTAAGAAGCAAGAATCGGAATTAGTATACAAATTTATTGATGAAAATATTGCACATCGTAATACATAAAAACAATTGAATAAGGATTCTTTTTTAAAGTTGGTTAAAGACATAATGAGATCACATTACAAGAAATCGAGTTAATATCACTTTTATGGGTGTCTTATATTATTTCTTTAAATACAGGGATAATGGCTACAACGATTTTAAATAATGAATACTACTGACAATAACACCTACCCAAGAACTAATGATATAGTTTTTAATTTTTTTTATCTGAGATCTGTAGTGATATTATAATTGTTTACTTTACCTTAACCCATACTGACATTTAAAGAGATTGTAATAAATATATTCTATATAATACTAACTTCTACTACATGTAATATTTTCTAATAAATATTTTAATAAATTTATTCATTTTAGTTTACTGGAAATTTTCTTCAAAACAAAAATTTCAAATGTAGATAATTTTAAATGAATATGTAACATAATTAATATATAAAATTAAAGTTATTTACAAATTGCACATGTATGGTCAAACAGATCTACACTCAACATTTATGGTAGCTTACTACAAACTTTAAATGTTGTAACACATACTGATTTAAGTATTTATCTCTTAATTACATTAGATCAAAAACACATAAGTACCAAAATATACAAATCATAAGCCTCAAAGCTTTCAACAAAAACTATTACTTTAATAATTTTCTACCATTTCTGGTTAAAATACTGACTACTACATATATCATTTGGAGGTAGTTTGCTTTATTATGTATTTAAAATATTTATTTATTTACTTATATTACTTTGGGGCAACATCTAAACTAGTTTTACTAACACCAAACATTCATTACAGTGTAACATTGAAAACAACAGATGTTATTGTTGTTCTGAAAAATCTTTAGGTGGCAAGGTCATGCTTCACTCCATGCAAGTTTTTCACTTTCCGTTTGATTCGTTCTCATCAGCCACAGAGTCTGTCAAAATTTTTTAGTAATTTGTTAGAAATTTGTCACACACAACAAAACACAAAATTAAGTTTTTAAAAATTTGTACAGTGTAAAACAGTTGCTAGTTTCTGTTAATTACAATATTATTAAATTCTGCAGTGCAATCTGCTTTTTAGATATAGAATTGAGTAAAGATAAATCAGTCAACATTATTAAGAATTACCTTTTATAAAGAAAGGGAATATTCAATAATATATTAATCAATTTATTCAACATGCTACATGCAGTGTATAATCCAATACTGTAAATGTTAAAAAGAACCATATTTCATGAATATCCCTGCATATATAGTTGGGAGACATGTGGGTTTTGTTTGAAAATATTGGCAAAAAGAAAAGTTCTCACCTTGATCATTATCTTCTACATTCTGAGTAATAAATTCGCGTAGTTCTGCATATGCTTTATCCAGGTTGTCATTAAGTATGACGATATGGAAATTGCCAGGTTGTTGACCTGAAAACATTTACCGATGAAGGGGTGAAAATAAATATTATAATTTTGGGGAAGTGTATTTTTAGCTTTGTGGACCAGTAACCCCATAACTATCAATGTACCATGTCAGATTGACCTCAACATGGTACCCCCTAGAAACCATCAAGATAAATCCTGGTGAGTTTACCATGATGGGCTTACTGACCTGACCTCTTGCTCAGGTGTCATGCCACCGTATACTGTTACCGCACCATTACATTAGTATACATCATTATATAGTATAAAATAAAGTCGCTATCGCTGTCTATGCATGCTTAAATCGTTAAGACTACTAAATTTTAACATGCAATAAATAATTAAAATAACATTATATATTGTCACTAAATGACACTAGATTTTTTTTCAATCTAAATTTATTTTGGGCTTTTTTTTTTAACATGTCAACTCCATTATATTACAAACTATGTAATTGTAACAATTCTTAAAATTAATATACTCAATATTAAATTAATATACTTAATATTAGTAAAATTATTTAATAAAAGCAATTTAATAAATAGATATATTTATTAAATTGCTTTTATTAGTGCACACAAACACAGCTGAATCTAAGTAGTAGGGGCAAGTAGTATGCTCGGAATAGTGGCCACATTAAATTTATAGATTTTAAAAGTTTGACATTAGATGGACAACCCTATTTTGGCCTATAAAAATATATATACCAATTCTAACAAAATTAAATGTCAAAAATAAGATCATATTCCACATCAATAAAGGAGATAAATTAAAGTACATTCTTATTTAACTATATTTTTTGCTTACCAAATTCAATTTCTCTTATGGCTGTCTCCAATCTCTTTTTCAAAGCATCTTCATGTTCAGTGTTGCGCGCTCGTAAGCGCCTTTCTAATTCTTGAATTGAAGGTGGCATCACAAAGACCAGTAGGGGATTCAAATCTGTAGTCTTGACTTGCTTAACACCTTCAATTTCAATATCCAAGACACAAATCTTTCCAGTTCGACGAACATCAGCAACAGCTTGTTTACTGGAATATAATTATAATAAATTATTGTTACTAGTAGGTTATGATAGGGTTAAATATAGTAAATTTCATTTTAGTAATTGATTAATGAGAATAATTTTCAGTAATATTTTATTTAATTATTATACTAATTAATAAGTGACGAAATGTTGAAGACCTTACATAATACCTTGCCCTTTTTTTTACTAAAAATTCAACCCACATACTACAGACTACAGGGTTGCATTTTTAGTGAATAAATCACACATGTCTTGACAATATAAATCTGGGCTTCAAGATGTTAAGATAAAGTTAAAATAATATTTGTTATTCATTATATTGAAACATAAGTCAAATAAATATTCATTACAAAAATAATTATAAAGAATATAATAATTATAAAGACATAGTAGTATGCATGTAATCAATCAAAAGCCTCAATGAAATATTTTTTGATAACCTTACTTTGCAAATTAACATCCTTCAATATTCTTTCATTTCTTTCAAGCTTAATGACAATATGTCTGTTACTTTTTTCCATCTATTCTAATGTTGTTCGCCATAATTAGCCTTTATGCCATCAACAGATGAAAAAAAGGGGCAAGTACAGTCATTTTAAGGGATCAATCCCTTAAACGACTAAAATTGTTGCCAGACAGAAACAACTTCAATCTAAGGGCACCACTAGAACTTCAAATCTTGGCTAAGTATTTTGATCCACGCTTTAATGGATCAATCTGAGGAGTGGTGTAAAGACAATTAATTATGTTGGTGTGTTGGTGATAATGGTAGCTTAAGTATTCTTATGATGTTAAATCTTTTTTTAAACTTCTCTGGTCTGTGATTTAATACCAAAATTCCAAGTATCACTATTCCAGAAGAAATGCAATACAAAATATATTGATAATTATGTTTATGAATATAATACATCAATATTTACCAATACTATAATTACTGAATTGTATATTAGACATATAACCATGATATATAAAGGTGAAGGATACAACAGAAAGTAAACAATGAAAAGTACTTACTATCTTCAATACTCAATAATTGGCACATTGCCCAAAATCTCAAAACAACAAGCACATGGTCATATTTATATGGACAACATATTCAATCAATTTACCTGGTGCCATACATATTTCCACTGAATGTAGCGTTTTCTATGAATTCTCCTCTCTCTATGGCAGCTGTCATTTCAGGTTTAGTTGTGAAATGGTAATGGACACCGTTTTTCTCGCCAGATCGAGGTCCTCTGGTCGTATGTGATACACTAAATCCAAACTTATCTGGAAATTCTTTAAGGAGGCGCTTGAGTAACGTACTTTTTCCAGATCCTGAAGGTCCACATAATACTAAAGGACGGGGTCCCTTCTGCACCATTGTCGCAAACACTAAAGCACAATAAATAAGTAATAAAATTATTATTAACAAGTATGGTACATAGGGTATGTACTAGAAAATTTAAATTATATTAAAAATATCTCACATCTTAACAAATTCGTGATTACTGGTATGGTAACACAACAACGACGACTAACCTATATTATAGCACTGCTAGATCAGACACTAGAAAATAAATAACAGTGTGCTATAATTTAATTAGTAATAAATCAAATTAATACTCGAAAGCCGCAACCGGCGACTACCTGAGAGAGAGAAGGTTAAGTAATTGGATTGATAGAAGTTAAGGGCAATGTCAATTAATGAACTTAGCAAGAGTCACCAGCAGAAAAGAAAGAATTAATTAAACAAGAACAGATGATAAATGTAATGCACAGAGTATATTCTAATACAGAAAAGAAATCATTTTTTTTTTTTAATAATGCTTTATTCATGACCATGGATACAAGTCCTTCAGTCGAACACATTTTTATAATGAATTTAATACAAAACATAAGAAATAAACTATTATATAAGCTTAGACAATACAATTTTAGTAATAATTCATTAATATTAAATTTTTTCCACAGTATGTACAATGTAGTTATATAGTGGAATAAAATATGCAAAGTGAGATAGCAAATCTTGAACGCGGCGGGGAATACTTTGTGAGTGTTCCTTTGCGATGTCACTAATGTCACTGACAAGAATCAACCGTTGTATGTTGAAAACTTGGCATTCAAATATAATATGGTTTATGTCAGCGTTTATCTTGAAACAGTGGTTGCATCTGTTGTCATTTGTGATTTTAATTCTGTTGAGATGGGATGGAACTAAACAATGGCCGAAACGTAGACGATTGATGATAGTGATAAATTTTCTATTGTAATATTTGAATTTGCTGTACCAAGGTGTCACTGGTAAGTCTGGCTGTAATTCTGCATACCATTTTCCTTTATTTTCTGTGCTTATGTTCCAGTACTCTTTCCACACTCTTCGTAAGTTACTTTTAAAATATTGGTAGTAGTCGGTAAATGGTACTTTCAAAATGTCTGTCTGATCTTCATCATATTGTTGACGAGTTGTCAAGTCAACGACCTCATTTCCAGGTATGCCACTGTGTGAGGGTACCCATACAAATTCTACATTCTTATTTTTAATTAAAGTTATTAACCTATTTTTTATTTCATATATAATATAATTTTGTTTATATGTACAATTGCCACTGGATAAAGTCTCCAATACACTCTTGAATCAGTAACTATTAGTATATTTACATTATTTACAAGGTTATTAACATATAACAAAGCACTTAATATAGCATAACTTTCGGCTGTAAAGATGCTGCAATTACTTTTGAGTTTAATACATTTAGTATATTTCTTTTGTGGATCATAATAAGCTGCTTTAACATCATTTAAATTTTTAGAACCATCGGTATAAATAACATAAAATTCTGATTTCTTATTTAAAAATTCTGCAAAGTCATATTTGTTATATATTAAATCTAAATGAAATGTAGTGTCAAGGAAACAGATTAGTGAATCATATGGACATTTGTATACTGGCCATTTGTCATTTATATATATTCCACCTGTAGCATTTTTAACATGTGTCATTATTATTGAAATTTCAGGTAATGATCCTGAAATAATAACAGATGCTGATATGGGGGAACCTACAACTAACTCAGAAAGCTGTGCAGGATATAAAATATTTTTAAGCACAATACTATTACTGGAAGATAATTCCTTTATACAAAATCTTTCTGCCAGTTGCAAACGTCTTAGAGACAATGGAGGTATACAATTTTCAACTTCCATACTATTTATAGGCGTGGAACGCATAGCTCCACTAATGATTCTCAACCCTATATTTTGTATAACATCTAATTTCCTCAACAACGTGGTACTAGCAGTCATATAGGCTAAACTACTATAATCAAAATGACTTCTGACTATGCTTTTATACAGTATATTGAGTGTTTTGGGATCAGAGCCCCAGTAAGTTCCTGCTAAACATCTCAAAATATTTATGCTCCTCATTGCATTTTGACAAATGTAATCTATATGTTTATCAAATTTTAATTTATTGTCCAAAACTATACCTAAAAATTTGTGTTGATGAACAATGGGTATTATTTTGTTATTATACATAATTTTAAGATTAGTTTGTGTGAATGTATCTCTACTAAATACTAACACAGAGCTTTTTTCTGAACTGATTTCTAGTTTTAGAATATTTGAATAATACTTTTGTAATTGATTTAGTGCAGTATTTATATTATTTATAGCCAAAGGCAAACTTTGACTCTCAGTGTATAAAAGCAAATCATCTGCAAACTGTAGTATGTTAACTTTTGTAGTATCCACATAATTGAGGATTTCAGATGTATACAAGCCATACAATAGAGGGGACAGGGTTGCTCCCTGCATTGTTCCCCTGTTAACATATTTAGGTCCATGTAGGATATTATTATACTTAACATAAACAGTTCTGTTTTTTAAAAAATTAAAAATCCAGTTTAATATTTTGCAGGGGAAATTTAAATTATGTAGCACATGAATTAAGGATTCTATATTTACATTATCGAAAGCACCTTTAACATCTAAAAATACACACACAACATTGGAATGACTTAATTTTGCTTTTTTTAATAGGGATATAAGAGTTACAAAGCTTTCAGAACAACTTTTGCCTTTTCTGAATCCAAACTGAATATCTGGCAACTTATTCTGTGTTTCAGTAAAGTAGTCCAAACGTAATTTTAACATGTTTTCAAATAGTTTGCCTAGACACGATGACAAGGAAATGGGCCTATAAGATGATGCACAGTTAATATCCTTATTAGGTTTCAAAATTGGAATAACACACTGGGTTTTCCAGGATTCCGGTATTATTAAATTCTCCCAAAGTTTATTGTATATATCTAATAGTATTTTAATTGCATTTGGATGTAGCTGTTTTATTAATTTATATGTAATATTGTCCAAACCTGGTGTTGTATCTTTCCTACTCTTAAGCGAAATATGAAGCTCGGCCAGTGTAAAGGGTCTGTTGAGAAAGGAGTCACTGTCATTTTTATCAGATTGATTCAATATATCAACTAAATTTGCATCATTGCATTGTGATGGAGCTGTCAACATATCTAAGAAACTTTGTACCCAGTCATCATTAAAATTTTTGTTGGAAGATGTACCTATCCTTTTAAACTTTTTAATGGAACTCCATATTTTTGAAATAGGTGTCATTCTATTGAAGCTACTACACAACTCTTGCCAGGAATCTATGCGTTGTTCCTTTAGAATTCTTTTTTTTTTTTTAGCATCAACTTTTTTATAATTTATGAAGTTAACAATTGTTGGGGTAACTCTATATTGTAAAAGGGCTCTCTTAGACTGTTGAACAGCATCATCACATGTTTTGTTCCACCAAGGCACTGGTTTTCTTAAAGTGTGTATAGTTTGTTTAAACTTTGATTTTGGTACTGTCTTGTCTCTGATGTCATATAAAATATTAACAAAATTATTATAAAATTGTAATGGTGTGTCATTATTTACATTATTATGTACATTTAAGTGGGAAAAAATACTTTCTGATAAAGAAAAATATTTCGACCAGTCTGCTTTATTATATAAAAATTTTTCTTCTACAGGTCGGACCTCATACACTGATGGCCCCACATTTACACTTACCTGAGTTGGATAGTGATAGCTGCCCATCGGGTCATCATGGACTTTCCACTCACAGAGAGGAGCTATTCGGGGACTAACTAATGTTATATCTATTGCTGATGCCTGCCTGTTTGGTGATTGAATGGTGGTTGGACTACCATCATTTAACACACATAAGTCAAGTTCATCTATGAGATTGTATATGTTATTACCTCTACTATTGTTTGTATGACAACCAAACAAAATATGATGTGCATTAAAATCACCCATAATGAGACATGGCTTAGGAGCACTAAGTAGAACTTTTTTCAGTTTGTTGGTATCAAATCTTCCATTAGGAGGACAATACACACATAGTATGTTTAATTTGCCTATGGATGTTTCTATTGCAATACATATATTCTGAACTGATTCATAAAAAGTAGTAGTTATGATATTATATTTAAAATTTTCTTTTATTAAAATACCCACTCCATTGTGTGTATTTACTGAGTTTTTGAATATGAAATTATAGGATGTAAATTTAGGAATTTTACTGTTACTTTTAAGCCATGTCTCATTAATGAGACGACAGATATCAATATTTTGTTCATTCATGTATTTTTGCAACAGAGCTTTTTTACTCTGTAAGCTTTGTATATTAAACTGGGCTATATTTAAGTATGTATTCATTAAATTAAATTTGACAACAATATTTCTTTTATTGTCTTATTAGTTATTGACATTTTCTCTTTGTTGTTACCGAGAGCAACAAGAGATTTAACTAATGCATTAATTATAATTTCATTATTTACAATTTGATCTGCATTGAATGCAGTATTATTATTATTTACATTTTGTTTAAATTGTGAATTATATACATTTAAAGATTTCTCTAAAGTGGGATATACTTTTGGGGTTGTACTACTTGAGGGCATACTCACAACAGCGGCATAGGAGTGATTGACATATTTACTTCTTTTTTCTTCAATTTTCTTCTTTTTAATGGGACAATCTCTCGAAATTGCTAAGTGGTTACCACTACAATTGATACAAACGATTTCTTCTACATCACATTCTTTGTATGAGTGTTGACCAGCACATGATGAGCACATCTGTGAGCTACGGCATACTTTAGCTGAATGGTTAAACTTCAGACATTTGTAACATTGGACTAATGGTGGAATATAAGTGTGTACAGGATATCTAAATAATTGTATGTAGGCATATTGTGGTAAAGTGGTAGCTGCAAATGTGACGGCTACAGTGCCCAATGGAGATAGTTTTCCCTCTACTTTTTTCATAAAACGTTTGATGGATATCACTTCGGTATCACAACTAATACTTTTATAAATATCTTCGTTGGACATGTCTGTCGGTACGTATCTTATGATACCAGTTTTTTCTGTGATATATGCTGGTACAAAAGCCTTGAATTTATACTTGTTTAAAAAATTGTCCATTTTTAAAAAATTATTGGCTGGTGCGGGCTTTCGAAAGGTCACACCTATTTTATAGGCGTTTACTCTGTGTACACCTGCAATGCCTTTCACATTTTCGGTGAATAACTTTGTTAAAGTAATGGGGTTTTTATTCCCTACTTTTTCATTTTCTGTAGATTCTACATAGACAACACAATCTACACTATGATTTTCAGGAAACTGTCTTTTGTAATTGGGTTTTGTATACATTTTATAGTCCTCGGATATAATTAAATGATTCGGCGACATCTTCCGTTTTTTGCCGCGTTGACTTTTTCCACGGTCGACGGGGTTTCCCCCGTCGCTACTATCACTCATTTTCTTTGCTTGATTTATTATTTAGGTATTTACAATAAGATATACAATATTTACAATAAAATTACAATTAAAATAAAAAAATCAAAAAGGAGAAAATTTAAAACACCCGCTCAATTTGACTTCCCGCCAAAAAGTCCGAAAAGAAATCAATTTTTAATAATGCTTTATTCATGACCATGGATACAAGTCCTTCAGTCGAATACATTTTTATAATGAATTTAATACAAAACATAAGAAATAAACTATTATACAAGCTTAGACAGTACAATTTTAGTAATTATTCATTAATATTAAATTTTTTCCACAGTATGTACAATGTAGTTATATATTGGAATAAAATATGCAAAGTGAGATAGCAAATCTTGAACGCGGCGGGGAATACTTTGTGAGTGTTCCTTTGCGATGTCACTAATGTCACTGACAAGAATCAACCGTTGTATGTTGAAAACTTGGCATTCAAATATAATATGGTTTATGTCAGCATTTATCTTGAAACAGTGGTTGCATTTGTTGTCATTTGTGATTTTAATTCTGTTGAGATGGGATGGAACTAAACAATGGCCGAAACGTAGACGATTGATGATAGTGATAAATTTTCTATTGTAATATTTGAATTTGCTGTACCAAGGTGTCACTGGTAAGTCTGGCTGTAATTCTGCATACCATTTTCCTTTATTTTCTGTGGTTATGTTCCAGTACTCTTTCCACACTCTTCGTAATTTACTTTTAAAATATTGGTAGTAGTCGGTAAATGGCACTTTCAAAATGTCTGTCTGATCTTCATCATATTGTTGACGAGTTGCCAAGTCTACGACCTCATTTCCAGGTATGCCACTGTGTGAGGGTACCCATACAAATTCTACATTCTTATTTTTACTTAAAGTTATTAACCTATTTTTTATTTCATATATAATATAATTTTGTTTATATGTACAATTGCCACTGGATAAAGTCTCCAATACACTCTTTGAATCAGTAACTATTAGTATATTTACATTATTTACAAGGTTATTAACATATAACAAAGCACTTAATATAGCATAACTTTCGGCTGTAAAGATGCTGCAATTACTTTTGAGTTTAATACATTTAGTATATTTCTTTTGTGGATCATAATAAGCTGCTTTAACATCATTTAAATTTTTAGAACCATCGGTATAAATAACATAAAATTCTGATTTCTTATTTAAAAATTCTGCAAAGTCATATTTGTTATATATTAAATCTAAATGAAATGTAGTGTCAAGGAAACAGATTAGTGAATCATATGGACATTTGTATACTGGCCATTTGTCATTTATATATATTCCACCTGTAGCATTTTTAACATGTGTCATTATTATTGAAATTTCAGGTAATGATCCTGAAATAATAACAGATGCTGATATGGGGGAACCTACAACTAACTCAGAAAGCTGTGCAGGATATAAAATATTTTTAAGCACAATACTATTACTGGAAGATAATTCCTTTATACAAAATCTTTCTGCCAGTTGCAAACGTCTTAGAGACAATGGAGGTATACAATTTTCAACTTCCATACTATTTATAGGCGTGGAACGCATAGCTCCACTAATGATTCTCAACCCTATATTTTGTATAACATCTAATTTCCTCAACAACGTGGTACTAGCAGTCATATAGGCTAAACTACTATAATCAAAATGACTTCTGACTATGCTTTTATACAGTATATTGAGTGTTTTGGGATCAGAGCCCCAGTAAGTTCCTGCTAAACATCTCAAAATATTTATGCTCCTCATTGCATTTTGACAAATGTAATCTATATGTTTATCAAATTTTAATTTATTGTCCAAAACTATACCTAAAAATTTGTGTTGATGAACAATGGGTATTATTTTGTTATTATACATAATTTTAAGATTAGTTTGTGTGAATGTATCTCTACTAAATACTAACACAGAGCTTTTTTCTGAACTGATTTCTAGTTTTAGAATATTTGAATAATACTTTTGTAATTGATTTAGTGCAGTATTTATATTATTTATAGCCAAAGGCAAACTTTGACTCTCAGTGTATAAAAGCAAATCATCTGCAAACTGTAGTATGTTAACTTTTGTAGTATCCACATAATTGAGGATTTCAGATGTATACAAGCCATACAATAGAGGGGACAGGGTTGCTCCCTGCATTGTTCCCCTGTTAACATATTTAGGTCCATGTAGGATATTATTATACTTAACATAAACAGTTCTGTTTTTTAAAAAATTAAAAATCCAGTTTAATATTTTACAGGGGAAATTTAAATTATGTAGAACATGAATTAAGGATTCTATATTTACATTATCGAAAGCACCTTTAACATCTAAAAATACACACACAACATTGGAATGACTTAATTTTGCTTTTTTTAATAGGGATATAAGAGTTACAAAGCTTTCAGAACAACTTTTGCCTTTTCTGAATCCAAACTGAATATCTGGCAACTTATTCTGTGTTTCAGTAAAGTAGTCCAAACGTAATTTTAACATGTTTTCAAATAGTTTGCCTAGACACGATGACAAGGAAATGGGCCTATATGATGATGCACAGTTAATATCCTTATTTGGTTTCAAAATTGGAATAACACACTGGGTTTTCCAGGATTCCGGTATTATTAAATTCTCCCAAAGTTTATTGTATATATCTAATAGTATTTTAATTGCATTTGGATGTAGCTGTTTTATTAATTTATATGTAATATTGTCCAAGCCTGGTGTTGTATCTTTCCTACTCTTAAGCGAAATATGAAGCTCGGCCAGTGTAAAGGGTCTGTTGAGAAAGGAGTCACTATCATTTTTATCAGATTGATTCAATATATCAACTAAATTTGCATCATTGCATTGTGATGGAGCTGTCAACATATCTAAGAAACTTTGTACCCAGTCATCATTAAAATTTTTGTTGGAAGATGTACCTATCCTTTTAAACTTTTTAATGGAACTCCATATTTTTGAAATAGGTGTCATTCTATTGAAGCTACTACACAACTCTTGCCAGGAATCTATGCGTTGTTCCTTTAGAATTCTTTTTTTTTTTTTTTAGCATCAACTTTTTTATAATTTATGAAGTTAACAATTGTTGGGGTAACTCTATATTGTAAAAGGGCTCTCTTAGACTGTTGAACAGCATCATCACATGTTTTGTTCCACCAAGGCACTGGTTTTCTTAAAGTGTGTATAGTTTGTTTAAACTTTGATTTTGGTACTGTCTTGTCTCTGATGTCATATAAAATATTAACAAAATTATTATAAAATTGTAATGGTGTGTCATTATTTACATTATTATGTACATTTAAGTGGGAAAAAATACTTTCTGATAAAGAAAAATATTTCGACCAGTCTGCTTTATTATATAAAAATTTTTCTTCTACAGGTCGGACCTCATACACTGATGGCCTCACATTTACACTTACCTGAGTTGGATAGTGATAGCTGCCCATCGGGTCATCATGGACTTTCCACTCACAGAGAGGAGCTATTCGGGGACTAACTAATGTTATATCTATTGCTGATGCCTGCCTGTTTGGTGATTGAATGGTGGTTGGACTACCATCATTTAACACACATAAGTCAAGTTCATCTATGAGATTGTATATGTTATTACCTCTACTATTGTTTGTATGACAACCAAACAAAATATGATGTGCATTAAAATCACCCATAATGAGACATGGCTTAGGAGCACTAAGTAGAACTTTTTTCAGTTTGTTGGTATCAAATCTTCCATTAGGAGGACAATACACACATAGTATGTTTAATTTGCCTATGGATGTTTCTATTGCAATACATATATTCTGAACTGATTCATAAAAAGTAGTAGTTATGATATTATATTTAAAATTTTCTTTTATTAAAATACCCACTCCATTGTGTGTATTTACTGAGTTTTTGAATATGAAATTATAGGATGTAAATTTAGGAATTTTACTGTTACTTTTAAGCCATGTCTCATTAATGAGACAGATATCAATATTTTGTTCATTCATGTATTTTTGCAACAGAGCTTTTTTACTCTGTAAGCTTTGTATATTAAACTGGGCTATATTTAAGTATGTATTCATTAAATTAAATTTGACAACAATATTTCTTTTATTGTCTTATTAGTTATTGACATTTTCTCTTTGTTGTTACCGAGAGCAACAAGAGATTTAACTAATGCATTAATTATAATTTCATTATTTACAATTTGATCTGCATTGAATGCAGTATTATTATTATTTACATTTTGTTTAAATTGTGAATTATATACATTTAAAGATTTCTCTAAAGTGGGATATGGGCCTTTCTCTACTAACTGGAAACTTGTCTATTGAAATTTGTCCCAACCTATTTTTCAACAAAATTGAAAATATTATATGTTAAATCGATAGATAGTTATAATATAAATGCATATGAACAAGAAACCATTGTAATTTTCCCTTATTTTTCGAATTATAGGCAACTTTGTAAAAAAATGCGGCAGAGGACTGTTTTGCCACCCAGAGTACTGTTTTTTCCACCCCTAGGACAGTTTATATCAATGTTTATTTGAAGAAAAACACAGTATTAATTATTAATTGCAATTAAATAAATTTTCTTCTTTATTTAATACTGTATCGCATATAGAAATTTTCATTTTCATCGCCTCTGAATGTGTGTCCTTTAGCATCACAAATTTTTAAGAAGGTTACTGTTAGTTCGCCTTCTTCCGTGTCTATGTATCAGCATATTCAGTGTTTCTTACTAGAAATTTAACCACGATGTAATCACCAACCATGCAATCAAGATGTGATAGTGTAATTCTGTTGGTTGATTGAACTAGGTCCAGCCAGTACAACGTCGTTGTGGGTCTCCATTGTGGAATCCTGTGAGTTGTCCATGTTTTCACTTTCAGAGTCTGTGTAAATATCATCTACGTTATGTTTTGTCTTGTTTTTGTACTCTAACACTCCTAAATTGAAATGCCGGCACTCGTCTTCACAAGTGCAACTTAAACTTTTCATTATGAGTTTCGCGGTACTTGGAGCTAATTCCAGAGGACTTCTTAATATTTCAGCCTTAACTTGATGTATTTTTATAGAGCCATTAAAGTTTTTTAAATTAACTGTTTCATTTTTAATGTCGTCTGTCAATTCTTGGATGGCTTTATCGTCGATCGTGAACAAGTTAATTGCGGAACATCTTCGTTGAATAGCCTCTATACAAATGTCTCAATATCACCTCCTGTAGTGACGACGACATCAGCGGTTCTCTTGCTCCAATGCCAAGTTTTTGACTACTTCTATGCGAGCTTCTGGCGAATCACGCATTTGGGTAAGTTTAGTGTTAGGTGTGTCCACATTTTCCTTTGTCTTAGCTTTTTCTAAACGTTCTAATCTCTTCCTATATTTCTCGGATTTTTTTCTGTAATACTCTAACTTTTTGTCTTTATCCTTTACAATTTTGTCACGTTTCTTTCTAGCATTACGCTTTCTCGCATTACTTGCATCACTTCGTGGAGTGGTCATATGGTATTTTCTCGTACAAAATTGTTTGTAATTTCTTTCAAAGCTTTTTTTTTGCTTGCGCGATAGATAGCACAGTGCTTTCTCTATTCTTTAGTCACAGCTTTGTGTTTACGTCGACTCATATCATAAACTGACTTTCTTGTACCTTTTTCCCTCTTTCATAGGTAGTTTCGACGTACTTTTTCCTTCAATGGCTCTCTTTTTACTGGGTCATTTTTTAGCTGTTGATGTCTTAATCTTCCTGCAATTCCTTTCTGCTCTTCTATTTCTTCTTTGGTTTTAGGTTTCTTCTTTGGTGACATTGCAGTAATTCTTAAACAATAAAACATACTTTCAATATATAAAAAAACCGTAATGGTTTAGTTACTAGGTACGTATTTTATTTTATATTCTAAAATCCATAATAATAGAAAAAACAGACCTGAATTAGCGGAACAGGCCAATGTAAGTAAGGAAAACCCTATTGGCAAGCAGTAGGTTAGTGCAGACTATAAAGACTATTAATAAAGTACACGGACGTCAAATAAAACAGTCCTCTGTCCCATTGAACAGTCCTCTGTATTATAAATTTCCAGAGGACTGTTGTACAGAGGACTGTTATTTTTACGTAAAAATGTCATACCACGTATCAGTTTTAATATTACTTCACAACATAGAAACAGGTCTAAATTATCACACTGAGCAATTTTTTTGTTAAATAAATATAATTATAACACATAAAACACTGTAAAATAGACTTACCAGAGGAATGTTCACTCAACATTACAGAGACGTGGCTCCCACACAGACGCGAAGTTGTCACTGCGCAAAATCTTGGAGACTTGTTCAGCATGACGACCGAGTAAACTTCACACTGTTAACGTTCCATTTCACGCGAAATATACCCATAATAGTGTTTAATATTTTTGTGGCGCGATATTCAAATTGTGACAGTGGATTGTTCACAAATGTATCGGACAAAATTCGAACACTAGCTTTTAGTAAAAAAAAAATCTCTAAAATTATAATTGTTTTATGTTCACATGCATTCAATATTCTTTATGTTCATAGACTTATAAGATTTTACATTTTTAAATACAACTAATAAAAACCGAACCGAATCATACTCGATCCGGAATTAGGACATAACAGAGGACTGTTTTTAGTGACTTTCAGACCAATTTTATAAAATAATTATGATTTTAAATATTGATTAAGCTTGGCTCCTTAAATAACAGGTTATATATTATGTGTTTTAATAAATAAAACTATGCATTAATGAAGGCAAAGTAAAAAAAAATGCTTGGACCATGATTTTCCTGTTAGTGGAGAAAGGCCCATATACTTTTGGGGTTGTACTACTTGAGGGCATACTCACAACAGCGGCATAGGAGTGATTGACATATTTACTTCTTTTTTCTTCAATTTTCTTCTTTTTAATGGGACAATCTCTCGAAATTGCTAAGTGGTTACCACTACAATTGATACAAACGATTTCTTCTACATCACATTCTTTGTATGAGTGTTGACCAGCACATGATGAGCACATCTGTGAGCTACGGCATACTTTAGCTGAATGGTTAAACTTCAGACATTTGTAACATTGGACTAATGGTGGAATATAAGTGTGTACAGGATATCTAAATAATTGTATGTAGGCATATTGTGGTAAAGTGGTAGCTGCAAATGTGACGGCTACAGTGCCCAATGGAGATAGTTTTCCCTCTACTTTTTTCATAAAACGTTTGATGGATATCACTTCGGTATCACAACTAATACTTTTATAAATATCTTCGTTGGACATGTCTGTCGGTACGTATCTTATGATACCAGTTTTTTCTGTGATATATGCTGGTACAAAAGCCTTGAATTTATACTTGTTTAAAAAATTGTCCATTTTTAAAAAATTATTGGCTGGTGCGGGCTTTCGAAAGGTCACACCTATTTTATAGGCGTTTACTCTGTGTACACCTGCAATGCCTTTCACATTTTCGGTGAATAACTTTGTTAAAGTAATGGGGTTTTTATTCCCTACTTTTTCATTTTCTGTAGATTCTACATAGACAACACAATCTACACTATGATTTTCAGGAAACTGTCTTTTGTAATTGGGTTTTGTATACATTTTATAGTCCTCGGATATAATTAAATGATTCGGCGACATCTTCCGTTTTTTGCCGCGTTGACTTTTTCCACGGTCGACGGGGTTTCCCCCGTCGCTACTATCACTCATTTTCTTTGCTTGATTTATTATTTAGGTATTTACAATAAGATATACAATATTTACAATAAAATTACAATTAAAATAAAAAAATCAAAAAGGAGAAAATTTAAAACACCCGCTCAATTTGACTTCCCGCCAAAAAGTCCGAAAAGAAATCAAATACTATGGGGTTGCCAACCTTAAAAGTATTTTAAAATTCTAACGAATTCACGATGCGAGTGAAATATAATCGACGATAATATCCCCACGCTGTTATTTCGATGAAGTAGCGACTACGTGGTATTGTTACTATTTGACGTAATCGAAGTTTCATGCATATATGCAGAAATATTTCAAATATATTGAAATAAATAATTTAAAAAATATTACTAACAGTATTGTCGAATAATAAGTAATTTGACGTAAATTTAACAACAACATAACAAATTGCTATATACCAAAAATGGGATTAGTTTTATTAATTTGCATTATACATGATGAACAAATATAGGTCTGACATAAGAAAGAAATTCTTTCACGTTTTATATAGTCAATATAAAATTTCTTTTGAAAATTTATTTTCCTGATAGACGGCCTCATTGTGTTACGTTTATAAGCTTTGTCTATGATTTAAGGTATAGGAGCAAGATATTATGAAATGAAACTATGAATTCCGTAGTCCTATTTTTTTGTATTATTTTATTTCATTAGTCATTATGAAATTATAACACTATCCCATCTTTCATACCTTAGAAAAGATGAGTATATATTAGTTTTTAGTTATTAACAGTATGTACTTGTAGAACCAAAAATATCTACATAATTATATATGTTACAAAGCCACGCAAGTATCCAGGACCATAAAAAAAAAAAACAAGGAACATATGATTTCGAAATAATCCGTTATTTAAAATTGAACGCTTGTTACCAATCGCGCTTTGAAGAAACGAAATTTACGACTCGTATTTTACATGGACGACTAAGTCTGTGATTATTGACACCAAGAGTTTCAATCTTTACGTGTCGGTAATTGAATGTTACAAAGCTTAATTTTTCATCAGATTTTAATATATATTTGCAAGCAACTATGGATATTCACGTGCGACGGCTGAAATCGGTATGTTATGCTTTTTTAAATTTGTACTGCCATGTCGTGTATTTATTCAATATATATTGTATTGTATTTAATCACATTATAGGCGCTGATTGTTGACCAGGAAAATGGGTATGTTAATAAAGGTAAAGTCGCTATGGCTTTACCAAGCAGACGTCAGGATGTTGGTGGGCGGGGTGTTTTGGGAGAACTCGACCATAATATACAAGCTCAGCGTGAGAACAATAAAGGAAAAGTTGCTGTCACTGCTGCTGAATTTGAGAAAAAAGCTGTTGTAAATCGAGGCCAGACTCGGTAAGTATTGAATTTTTTTGGCTACCCTATGACTTGATATTCTGTTCATGTAATTATTACTAAAATTACCATACTGCAAGGTTTTACCTATATTGTCCTTAATTGCTTTCCTAACTATTAAAAACAAACTGTTTCAAAAATCGAAAAGTTTTAACATTTTTTTTATTGAATACATATTTTGTCATGTTTTGTAATTATTAATAAATTACCACACAGTTTTTACTGATATTCAGCAAGTGTAAGATTTGTGGGTAGAACAAATATCACATTATCATGTATTATATATGTAATTTTTTTCTTTACAATTACCCTCGGAATATGTTGCAATAAGCACTTTTGCTATGTAATATTAGGTAGCTTTGCTACTACTCTATACCTGATAATACACTGGTCTACTTTAGGATGCGTTTTGGAAAAAATAGTATTGTTACTATTTTTAATAAAATTTGTTAAACTTTCTACACTGGTCTTGATATTTTTAGCAAATTTTTATCACAGTAGCTCAATGGGTAATAGTTAATACTTAACTCACAAGTTGATTTATCTGTTAGTTTGCCAACAACCCTACATATAATTATTATAAATTTTATGATTACATTCAAATACCACTTAAAAGACAAATCACTTCAAAGAAAAATGTTGCATTTTTTATTGTAGTAACTACAGTCATGTCCAGTCAAAAGTGGATACTGGGCTTCCTAGCAAGAATGTGTCTGTTCAGCAACTATCAAAACCATTACTGCGACGAGAGGAGAGCACTGCCAGCCTTGCTACTAGAGCTGTTGCTCGTACTAGGGTGAGTTCATGTTAAACAATTACATTACTTATCACCTCATAGTTATAGTTTACTTTATTTTCTCTATATACCTCATACTTGGCATAATTATTAAAGAGCTCATTGACAATTTTTCAATAGCATTAATATTATTCTTTTTCAATGTTTAGTTCTTTTTCAACAAAAGTATAATATAAAAAATATATATATGTATAATAAAAAGAGGAGATTTCTTCAAAGTCATCTGTTTGAATAATACCTCAGTCTTCTATGTTGTTTCTGCATGTTCAAATACCTTGCTTATATAATATGAAAGGTGTAAGCTGTGTAAATTAGAAATTCTATATAAATTACTGGTCATATGACTGATGCCTGAATAAACAGTAATTTATAAGTGTTATCAGTGGGGTATGTTTCATCAACAGTTGTATGTAAAATGTTTTCCTAATGCATTGAAAAGAAATGGTAACAAAAAAAATAGGAATATTTTAAAAACATCATTTTTACTTTAGACACCAGTGGAAATAATGGTTTTTAAATATTCCTTCTAAGTCTCTATTAAATGATTTGTTTTTTATTCTTATTTATATTACTATTATTATAAACTAAATTTTGATGTATTGAACAATATATGTATTGAGTATATTGTTTTAGGCTGTCCTGAAAGAAAACATTTACAGGCAACCTGAATCAAAGGATAGCAATATTATAATCCAAACAAAGAAGACTACACAGACAACCAAGCGGACGGCTAAGCTACCCACGTTGAAAGAGAATACCAAGGAAACTAGATCATTGAAACCTGTTCTCAAAGAATCTACTGAATCGTTAGGAAAACTTAAGTTGGTTGAGACCACATTGTCTGAGCAAAGTACTGTAATAAGTAGTAGTAATCTACAAAATAAAGGACTAATGTTTGAGAATACCTTTGCATGTCCTTCACCAAGACTTCCCGCTGACATTGAAGATATTGATGCTCGAGACAATAACAGTCCACTTCTCATGTCTATTTACATCAAAGATATATATAATTACTTGACGCAACTTGAAGAGAAGTACCCAATTGAACCTGACCACTTGAAGATACAGGTACACTTGTCTAATTTATAAACTTAGTAGTGTAACTGTAAGAACATCAAATATCATGTATACCCACTGTATATATAATGATGATATGACTATCAGATAATACAATGTTATGACACCTTCTTGATTCCCAGTTTAGACTTCAAGACATCTTTACCAATATTCTTACAACTCGGTGCAGTATATACATTATACCTTTTTAATGGACATTTATAGGATCCAAATTTTAATTAGTAATAATTAGTAACTAATTCATAATTCTAAGGTTTGTGAGTTTGGACAGATGGATGAGACTATTGAAGTTTCTACATAAAAGAGTAACGGACATCTATCTGTCCAATCCACATCCATCTATCACATTTTGTGAACGAAATTTTGGTAAATACATAGATTATGTCCTGATTAACACACAGTCTACTTTTTACAATACAATATATAATTTCAGACTACAGATCTCCTACATTTCTTTTTTTGATAGTTTATGCTTATTGTATGGTCCCATGAAAGGTGAAGATCAATGGTAGTTTTTGAGTTTATTTCAAAATCAGGCTTTTCAGAATTAATGCTATATTTCAGACTGTGATCACTGCTAAGATGAGGGCGACATTAATAGACTGGCTGGTGGAGGTCCAACGTCAATTTTCACTTGTATTAGAAACATTGCATCTAACTGTGGGAATAATTGACAGATATTTGCAGGTAAATTGAATGTTTTTATTATAAGGTTAATTTATGAGTCCATAGAGACATTGAAAATTGTAGATATAGGAAAATTTACTGTTTTCAATAATACAGAACATTTAATCATAGCAGAATTTCAGCTACATTTCTTTCTATATCTTAATCACAAAATTAAATCGTAGTTTAATTTCTAGATGACTGATTTGTGTGACAATAGGCTTTCAATTACGTAATAACATTCTATTTATTAGAGTACACAACTGCATAATATACAGTGTAATAATCTTTCAGGTTGTGCCAAATGTGCAGCGTGACCGGCTGCAGCTAGTTGGGGTCACAGCAATGTTTATTGCCAGCAAATATGAAGAAATCTATGCGCCGGATGTTGGAGACTTTGTATATGTCACTGCTAATGCATACAGCAAATCTGATGTATTTAAATGTGAAAGGGATATAATGACCAAACTAGGTTTCTGTTTAGCTAGACCCATTCCACTTAGCTTCCTAAGAAGGTAAGGATATAAAAAGAATTATTTTGTGGCTTTGGTGGTCTAGCTGTTTAGCACACCGCCTTACTTCCGATGGTTATGGGTTCGATACCTTGCAGAGTACAAATATTACCTATTTCTAACCTATCTCTGCCGCCTTTCAACCGATGTACTCTGCTTACATAGTAAGCAGTAATTCGGTTGAACAAAAAAAAAAGTATGTTAGTCAAACCAGTAAGAGTATGCCGGCAAGTTATGTCCACATAACATGACACATAATCCTTCAGATTTGCAACCAATATAGGCTACTACAGTCGTCACAGTTACCACTTACCGTCCGGTGGACCGTCAACCTTTTTGCCACTTCAATAGGACTAAAAAAAGTTATATCAGTGTTTTTATAGGATATAATGATGATGTTGGTTTATTGCTCTATTATGTCGTGTATTATTAGTGATTACTGCACTGCTTAATTTACGTATTAATCCTACTAACTATTTTCGACATTATGAAGAATGTACAGCAACTACTGCTCACATATATATAAAGAATGAATACAAATGAGCATTTTCATAACAACTCCTGTCTCACTGCTGGTTACTGTTCTTTCATCATTAGAACAGAATTTATTTAGTCGTGTGGTTTGTGGGTAATATAAATACATTTTACAGATTCGTCAAAGCAGCGCATGGGACGTCGAAGAATCACCACTTAGCGAAATATTTTGTCGACTTGTGCCTTCTAGAGTACTCGATGGCTCATTACAGACCTTCGGAACTTGCGGCTGCAGCTACTTGTCTATCGCTGTATTTGTTGTCAAGCAAAGAGCTGGATAATGTTTGGACCCCAACTCTGGTGTATTACTCTACTTACTCACTTGGACACATTGACCCAATAATGAGGAAAATGGCAAGGATAGTTATAAATGTTGAAAATTCTAATTTTAAGGCGGTATATAATAAGTATTTGGATACGACGCTAGCTAAGGTATCTAGCTTACCGCAGCTCAAAGGTGAATTAATTTATGAATTAGCAAAATTGTCATCAGATTCTTAAGACCGTAATATTATAGTTGTTATTATGTAATGTTAAAATCTGTGAACTTGTAACGCATCGTTTATTGTATCCAATGTTATTTTTTGCGTTTCTGACTTCGGACTGAACTTTGTATAAGATTTGTTTTAGGTACCTGTTTTGATTTATTAATAGTAGTTTTAATTTTAGATATAATTTATACCTATGTTTATGTGATATTGAATATGTAAACTATCTATGTATCCAGTTCGTAATTGACGTTATTATTAATGATATAATTATATAAAATGTAACTGTATCTTTGTATGTAATATTATTCATTCAGACTTAAATCTCATTTACTTGTACATAAATTGGTTATTATATCAACATTTTAATTGATATTGTATTTAAATCCAAGACTAATCTGGATTGCTTTAACTATAATGAATGTTGTGTAAACTTATTGCCAAATATTTCCCGTAAGTATTTTTTATGGAATATATTTTTATTATTTCAGAATGATGAGAGTATTGTAACGCTTAATGAAACTCTTAGCTGGTATGAAATGTAAATTTTAATATGTAATTAATATATGCTTGACGGATTCTCCTAGTGTGAATTTCTTTTGTAGGCAAGATCTATATGATGTTTGTAATTTTAAAGATTTTCTGATTAAATGTAGTTTTGATCGTAAAGTTTTGAAAATAAAATGTGATTGACAACATTGCCTTTTTTATAAAATCTTCTAAAAATATACCTTAAGTACTGAAAATATAGGTACTAAAAGATGATTTGGTTAAAATATCCATATCCGCATTATCAAAGTCGTTAAAATGTCAATTACATAAAAAGGGCAAGTAAGTGTATTCTGCAAGATAGTGTAGTATTCATATACAGTATTATTGCAAGTTTTATCTCTGTCATTAATTATTTTGATTCACATAATTTTTTTAATTGTTTAATTATATCTGTATATAACAGATGAAATCAAAAACTGTTTAGACTGGGTTATAATATTTTATAGTTTGGGCACCAAGTAGCAAATTATTACGCTGTATATATGTAACTTGACTGTTGTAAAATATATTTTTAAGAGACTGACTATATCTAAACAGAGATTATTAAAAGAAAGTATTGAAAAAAAAACGAGATTTCTAAAAATATTCCATCGAGTTGGCAATAAGCTTTACTACTAGCTTTAGTTCGTTATCTCGAGAAATATTCACGCGATTTTTAGCCCTAAGAAGTCATTGAAATGGACGTTGCAAACTACGAAAAAACATATTTTACGCTCCTAAACGAGCATTATACTTTAATTAACTTTGATTAACTTTTTTAGTGACAATATTTTTATATTAAAAGGATCACCCATATCCTTCCGGAATTACATTGTACGGCTGTCTTGTAAGATGTTTTCATTGTTACAAAAATCTTTTGAATATTACTCTTCGTGTGATAGAATAATATTCAAAGGAGTGTGTGGCAATGATTCGTTAGGTTCCTTCCGTCAGATTTTGGAATACAGATATATCCATACAATAAAGTATGTATGTATCAACTTCGTGCCATTAACCCTTTGGGTGGCCGAAAATTGAACCTCGTTTTACTCTATAATTTCTTATAAAGTTTTATCTTCGATTCCCGTTAGGAAATGAGTGCAAAGATTTTTCGCATTAATCCCACATTGATCGGTCCTTTGACGCCGATGAAGAGGCATTGAATTGACAGGTCTCATTAAAGTTGGACAGCTTTTAATGGTGAAGTAAAAGATAGAGTGGTGAGATCGCTTCGACGTTGCAATATTTACTAGATTTAGACTGAATCACAGTCTTGTATTTCCATAGAACATTTGAACATCTTAAAATACAATTCTTACCAATCCATTTTCGGAAATTAATACTGTCACTTATTTACTTATCTTGGAAAGGTAACTAAACTTTTCAAGTAAATGGGTGACTGTATATAAGTAGTAGTAAAGTAATTCGATATAAAGAAGATTGTATCACAATGATGGACTTTGGCAAATACTAAATATCGGGGGAAGGGGATTGTTAGTAATGTGGACCAATGATCCCATTGCTAGCAATGTACCATGTCAGATCGACCTCCACGCGGTTCCCCCTGGAAACCATCGTGATACATTCCCGGTGAATTTGTCACGTTGGGCTAACTGATCTGACTTCATGTTCATCCTATCATCCTCCATTGGTGCCCCGCCTGCGTAAACCGTTAGTCATTGTAGGAGCACATTAGATTGCAATTATATATTGAAACTGATGTGGTTTTTATATTATAAATATATAAACAAGTAACTAAGCATAGGCAGTGGTGGTCTCAATAGCACAATTATTTCTCATGCTCTTTAACTGGCCAAAAGATCAACTATTGGACGCTCGACTATGTTAAACATTTTCCATGGTTTTCCCTCCCGCCGCAAATTCGAAGAATTTATTAACGCTTGGCGGTTAGCCGAACGGTTTTTGCTCCTTTTTTTTTGAGAACGAACTCCTGCAGCGTACTAAAAAAGAATCTGGTTGTGTTTTAGGTCAACTGTTTCTTGTTAAGAATTTTATATTTATTACGATTGGATATACCTAATATAGTACCTAGTAGGTAAATATGTAGTACTTAGTAGTATTTAGGTTCTGTAGTGTTTGAATTATGTTTGGTAGTCAATACTAGAATACATCATTCAAACTCCTTGATATAACTCCTCCATACTAGGATGAATCAGTAAATTTTTGCATGTAATCAAAAAATACACCTAATCAAAAAATATCTACATGTAGGTATTTGTTGCCATAGATGTTTGTAAGATGAAATAAGTATATTATTATATAACTGTATGATAATGCTTCTTATGTTTCATTAGTTTTAGACAATAGACGATACATTATTTTTAACTTGTTAGAGTTAACAGCTTATAGAGGTAATCTCTATATTCAAACAATCTTTTACAATTTATGACAAGTCATTAGATACATAGGAATAACCACCTATGTAATGACTTGTCATATGTTCTTAAATGCTTTATGAATATAATCAGTTGATGATAAATAATAATAATTATATTATATACGTAGAAAATACCCAAACCAATACAAACAATCATACTCATGAATACAAATGTTTGTACCGTGCGAGGAACCCGTGACAATCGGAAGAAAATCGGTGTAATAAACCGATAGACCACCGAGGCCATGGAGAATTTTAGTACTAATATTATAAATCAGAAACTTAGGATGTTTGATAATGACTTGATAGATTTGAATATTTACTGGTAATACAGACGAACTATACCTACCCTCGTATTACACAGATTTTAAATCTTAATTAAAGCGGTTAAATCCGGGGTTATAAGAAGTATTATATTATGTATTGCCTGTGACCCAATAAACAGTGTAGTTATCTAGTTCGCTGCGGTTGTTAATGCAATAGCGGCTCCATGTTGTTGCATTTTTGCAACAAGCGAGCTGCAATGTATGCACATAGTCGCTGTAATGCAGCGAAAGCCTGTCTCGTAAATATTTCGCGCACGCAATTTACAGCTTTGGGAATCCTCTTAACGGAATAGTAGGGCAGTTAGTGAGGCCAGGATATTTATAATTTTAATAGCACTGGCCATTGTTTTCTAGATTACTGTGTATCAAGGAACAATAGGCCAGTGTAACCCACACACAGACCTAATCTGTCGCTGCTGTGAGCATCTAAAAATAAAATGGGAAAATGTTATACATATTGAAATGGGCCAAAGAATAAATTATTACTGAGCTCAGAGCATTAAGTAACTGGTATGCATAATTACAATAAATATCTACTTACTTGTGTTATTACCAGATACTCGTAAGAAGAAGTACCTAAGTACCAAGTAAGAGTAATTTTAATAATAAAGCCTGATTACAATGATCTCTCAGACTTTTCATTATTATATTCTTTACTATACGGGTATATTCTTTATTGTACTTGCAAGATAAATCAAAAACTTAAATAGCAATGAAGAATTAAATAAATATATTTATTAATTAAGATGGATATTACCAGATATTTTAACAATCTATTTACTACGTACTAACGTAGTAAATAGATTGTTATCTCATTTGAACCTGTTACGATTTCTTTCATAGGTCACAAAACTGGTAACTTAAATGCAGCTTGCGTATCAGCTTAAATATCGTGGACTGCGGCCTGACAACAAAATGTTTCATATTATTGTCGTGTTATGCTTTTCTACTTAACGTCGGGAGTTGCAAGTGTCTCCAAGTAACGGCTCTTCCGTTGTTTCGCCAACTTTTAACGAGTTTGTTGGACACGACTGAAAGTGGAACCGTCGCGACGCTGTCGAGAATCCTGCTTGCACATATGTTACACACACTATGTTACACTATATCTACGTCTACTTCACGAGTGCCTGGAAATTTCAGTAACTTAATCCGTATTTAGAATTATGACACTTTTTTTATACAAAGTGGTTTTTGTGTGAAGTGCAATATAACGAAATATCTGTAAGGTATCAGTTACAGTTTAAAAGATCTTATAATTATATTGCACGATTAAATGAACACAGTATAACTACATCACACATATAACCGCGCGACAGTCTGACTCAGAGGTAATAGTATACAAAATTCTGCCGTAAGTAATTGAGACTAAACAAACGACATTAAAGTAGTTAATAATAAGGAACGAGGAAGGAGTAAGTTAATAAGCAACGTATACCAATATAATAATTAGTAAATAGGTGTTGTACTATTAACTTTAAAATACTTTATTGATCATGATATAAAACTATACATAAAATATAAAATTTTTTTAGTCAAAATGAAATCGACAACTGTGTATACGTTGGTAATGTAGCATCTACATATAGGACCAGCGTTCGTTACTTTAAGATAAGAGATCAAAGCGTTGTTAACTCATTATGAGATTATTTTTACAAATAGGTACTAAATACCTGCCTAATTCTTCTCAAAACAATGGACAAATAAACTTTAACTATCAGTCTTAGATAATTTCTATAATGCTTAGTCTAAAGATTAAAATCACTGCGTAAAACCTATATATAATGAGCAGTATAAAGTATTACGGTAAATAATAGGTACAAACATTTCCCTCATGTATGGTAAGGGTTAAAAAGCTTATAGCTAATGCTCAAAAGGATATTTGGCTAATAGTGGATGGGTCGAGCTTCATCTTGCCGTAGTAGAGTACTAACTTTAATTTGTTAACATTTAACTTTCAGTGCAGCCTAAAGATACATACCTTATTTGCCTATAATAGATAATTAGATAAAGATTAGGTAGATAATTGAATAAATTTCACTCCAAAACTTCGATATATACCACCCGTATCATTAGTCACACATATCGAAATTTCTTGGTCTCTATACAGGTCATTATTGTTTAGATTCTTTTAGTAGAGGGTACTTATTATTTATTATGGTTTGAGTATCAGATGATTGGATTATTTGTGATTATCTGATAGAATTGGGTATTATATTTAATATAGTTTGAGTTATAATCACCCGCTTGCCGCTTATGCCCTGAGAGCACATATTACAGCGATCAGCGTTCCCGACCGGACCGCCACGGGTAGCACTTAAAAGTGCCGTTAAAAGGGGCACCGTTCAAAAGCACCGTATAAATAACGCAGCCAACAGCATTTACGTTAGCGACGATATTTTACGATATTCTTTCATTCCCATTTACCAATTCAACCGCGTATATATTCACTCATTGTATATTATAATTATTGTTTACTTTAAGTGGCCAGTTTTTTTGAGGCTGACTGTAGTAGTATGTAAAAGCATAGCGTCGTCGAATGTACATAAAAAACGAAAGTTTTCATAATTTCCGGTATCGTAGCAAGATTGTACGTAAGCGATTAATAAGCAAAATTTTAAACAAACAATGCAATAGAATCTTTATAATAAAATGATAATCATTTCATGATATAAACATAATATCGTGATTGGTAAATTAGTCCACTTGTAATACCTTTTTAGTTTCATGTTTTTTGAGCGATTGCAGAATTTCAGTATTCTATTGAGAGCAACTGACTATTTTATGTAGCAGGG